AGATGGCCTGTTCCTTTATCCTTAAAGCATCAGAAGATGATGAAGGGTTGTTGAGGATGCTATAGAGGATAGAGAGGGACTCAGATGGATTTTTTGCCTCGGAAGCCTGAACGAGTGAGTCTGTTGTTGCAGGGAGGTACGATGAAGCCATGGTGGTCATCACTTTTCTTTATCAGTTCTGCGTGTTCAAAAGATACTCATTTAGCCTATATTAGAAGTTGAGACATAAACAAAACCAAACCAAACATACCAAATGAGAATGAGTCCCGCTGGGGAGTGTCAAGCGGACATTTTGTCTTTGATTTCTCACTTTGGAGCACGTTTTACATTTAAGAGTATAAGTTTTGACATTAAAACATTCAGTCCTCTTAAGTTAAGAAGGAACACACTAAAATGTTTCACATGAATGTCATTGTTATTATGTCCGAAGTTATCCACTCCACAAATAAATAACGACATTCGAACAAGTTCTTAAACTACCATGCTAACATCAACAACATCTAACAGTCACAATGACACAGGCAAACGAATAAAGTTTCCAAAAATTGATAAGAAAAAGTTATGGTGCTACTATCCCACAACAAAACACTAAACGAGAGGGCAGAGGCGATTCTAGGGTTGATCTTACAAAACCTTAAAATGTCATTAGACATTACTGGTCATAACTGGTAATGTAATGGCTATAATCATAATGTTCTAAATCAACTTCTCCACCATCAAGGCTGTTGCTACTTGCTAGCATAACACATTAATACCATTATTCTTCTTAGTTCCATTTTCAATCAAGTATACTACGCACTAGTATATCTCTCCATTCAGTATATGGCATCATCTAGCACTTCCTATAAATAAAACTAAAAATCTTAAATTTTGATTCAAAAAAATTGCAAAATCTATTATATATAAATGCAGTCACATTTTGGCAAATTGACTTAAATTAGCTGCCAATTTTCCTGCATAAATCGGGAAATGCATCTGAATTTTTTGGACAATGTAGGCACAATTTTCTCTCGGTCCACAAGCATTGAAAAATGAAAATCATTGAAATCGGTTTTGGTAGGTTTTTAAGAACCAAAAATCACTATAAAAAAAATAAATGTAATTACTAAAAGGCAATTTGGGGGCTAAACTACAGTCTCTTTGAATTTGGGGGCTAGGGAGGTCACCTGCAAATCTACAATTCCAGATATAACACTCCAAGTGGAGATTTAAAGTAAGCTCGAACTGTGCTCCGATTGCTAATTGCTCCATTATAGTACGACTTAAAGTGAACTGCTCGAACTGCAGATATAACAAATGAGTAAATTCCCAAAATGGAACTCAAAAACTATGTATTTTCTCAAATTAGTTCCCAAAATTAGCTAATTCCCGAGATGATACTCGTTAATTGATGATAATGCTCATCAAAATGGTAAACCTTATACTAATATTCCAAAATGGTAATAGTTCCCAAAATTAACTAAGATGTTAAACCTTATACTAATTTCCCAAAATAGTACTCTCAAATTGGGTGTTTTCTCAAATTGGTCCATTTTTGAAATAAAAATATATTAATTATGAAAAGTATTTTAAACTTTATAGGATGACCATATAATACTAAAAAATATAGATAGAATTTTATAATTTTGAAAGTAAATTTTTTAGATCATTTGCAATTATTTAGAAAAATATCCTGTAAATAAAATGTTAAAAAAATGACCATAGATAGAAGTAAAACATAGAGAAAACTTCTATTTTGGTACTATCTTTATATTATACTCCTATTTAGGGTGATTTCTTTTACATTTACTTAACATTTTATTTAAATGATATTCTTCTAAATAATTGTAAATAATCTAAAACGTTTACTTTCAAATTTATAAAATTATGTTTGTAGTTTTTAGTATTATATTATCATCTTATAAAATTTAAAATATTTTTCCACAATTAATGTATTTTTATTTTGAAAAAGGACTAATTTGAGAAAGTTAGAAAGTATCATTCTGAGAAAATAGTTTAAGGTTTAACGTCGTTTTACCTCCGGTTAAACGGCCGTTAGTCAGGAAGATTGAACTGAGTATTATTCTCAATTAACGAGTACCATGTCAGAGATTAGTTAATTTTAGGGACTAATTTGAAAAAATATATAATTATTGAGTACCATTTCGCGAATTTACTTTATAACAAACCTACCTTCTTTAACACTCCAATTACAGATTTAAACTAAGCTTAAAGTGCTAAACTAGAGTCCTAATTTAAAAATGCAGTACGATTGAATTATTGAATAGCAGAATCGCACCTTAAGAAAGCATTTTTTCTATATTAATACCTTCATCCCATTGCACCTCTAAAAGATACCTTGTTTGAAGATACTCCTTTTATCTGGATTTAGTGGTGTTTCTCTGTACTTATAAGCAATTTTAACTTATAAATCAGCTGATGACATGTTTCTGTGTGCTTATAAGCTGACTTATAAGCTGCTTATAGGCCAGAAAAAATAAGTAGGTTTTAGCTACTTATTTTTAAGTCAGTTTTTTTGTTTCTCCATTTTGACCAGGTTATTTACAAAACTGTCCCTCACCATATATGAATATTTCTAAGTGAACTACCTATCATTTAAGTCATTTTTTACTTCCATGAAAGAATATTTGACTTATAAGCAGCTTATAAGTTACAAACTGTTTATAAACAATAAGCCAACAAGCACCAACACAGAGAAACACCTCCTTAGTAGTCTACATCTTTGAAAATTTCATATTTAAGAAACAAGTTTAAAATTCCAAATAAACACTTTGCCCAAAAAAACGCTCAGCTTCCCATTTGTATCCATTCCAAAAACATTTCCTCTTTCAACTAAAATAACATATTTATCCTTCTAAAAGATAATGTGGTTCAGCGGTATTTGTGAGTTTCTGACACCCTCAAATGAAAAGTCACAAGCTCGAGTCCAATTGCATATTCAACACTCCAATTGGAGATTTAAAGTAAGCTTGAACTTCTCCCATTTCTAATTTCTCCCATATACTAAGGCTCCGTTTGGTACACAGAATTCGAACTATGGAATTGGAATTGGAGAATTCCAATTCTGCTGTTTGGTAGCACAAAAATAAGTGGATTTGGAATTGGTAGTGCCAAAAATAAATTGGAATTGAAGAACACAATTCCATCCAAATCAATTTAATAGAATTTCAATTCCGTCAACCGTGTACCAAACGGACCCTAACACTTAAAGTGAACTGCTTGAATTGCAGATATAACAAACCTACCTTCTTTAGCACTCCAATTACAGATTTAAAGTAAGCTTAAACTGCTAAACTATAGTCCTAATTTTAAAATGCAGTACGCTTGAACTATCGAACAGCAGATTAGTGGTCTAGGATAAACATATGAAATCTGCGGACCAAATCATCGAGAATGAAACGATCGGTTGCTAATTTTTTCTATTAATTACTTTGGTCTAGGAGAATGGAACGATTGGTTTCTGATTTTTCAATTGATCTGCGGGCCAAATCGTCAGATGGGGAAACATACCTTGATCGGCGAAGAAGGGAAGACCGGAAGTCGGCAAATCGCAGAGCGGCACCGTAGCGAAATTGCAGAAGAGAAGATAATGGATTAATGGGGTTTGGTTTGAACCAGTCTCAAGTTCGGTTCTCCAGATGTGACTCCGCAGTCGATACTCTAAGGACACCGTTTTGCACTGGGCTAACTTCGATTGGGCTTATAAGTTATAATTTACACATATGGAATATTAAATGTGGGCTTGGCTATTCTTATTCAATTTTTTATTTACATTTTTCAAAAATTTTTTTAAAAAAATTGTTTTAAAATGAAAAGTATGTGATTGAATTTTTTTTAAAAAACTTAGTATTATGACTAGAGCTGGAAAATCAGCGGGTCAGGTCGGATTCGAATTTAGAACTACATGTTCGTGACTCAGTGTCATCATGTTCGGATCGATCCAACCAATTATGACCATTATTTTTAAACTTTTTAAATTCATGATAGCATTTGCTGCAATGAATAAAAATAAAATATTCAAAAAAATATGTATTAAATCTGTTAGGAAGTCATAACCTTTTGAGCGCGACTAGACGGTTACTGAGGAAGTACACTCTTTACTAAGCCTTATTTCACTTGCCTGGTCTCCCTTGGCCTACCATACCATTAGCTTGCATCTCAAGCTGCATGCATCTATATTAAACCTTCATACTATTCATGTGGGAACTTTAAGGATAGTGTTGGTGGGTATTTATTAATAAATGTGCTTATATTAGTGAGTGGGTCGTGTTTAAAGCTCACTAGTAATTATTCTATGGCAAATTCTTCCGTAAAATCAAGGTCTATGCTCATTTTATGCATCTTAGTGCATTTGTAACATTAAAGAAGTGGGCTTTTTCAAAAAAAAAATAAAAAAATATACACATACAAATCCATGAAAAATATGAAAAGGTCCATTTTTAAATATGGTCTTTGAGAGCATGTAAGCATTACTCATTACCTATATACTTGATGTGAATAGTGAAATGTAGCGGGAGAACATTTGTACACAAATTTCTACAATAAATTATTATATTTAATTAAACAAATCAACAAAAAAATTCATTACAAACTTGTCTCTCACTCAAATCAAAGTCAAGAGCAAAACCTAGGTCGGGTCCAAATGTACGTAGTGGGTAAAACATCAGTAAATTCAATTATATTGCAACTTCAGTAAAAACTATACTCCGTATAATGTACATACAAGATACATCACCATCACCCTCTCACTTGCCATGGAATTTCTTATTAGAAATAGAGGGAAAACTAACCTATCCATAATAGGTAAATATTTGCTCATTCCAGCAATTTTTACTATCTCTATTTTGGGGTATTTGTCTAAATTTGACTTTTTACAGTCGAAATGTTAGAGGTTATTATATTTGTTGTATAGGCTTTGACTCAGCTTTTAGATGAACCATTTAAAAGTAGTGTTCAAATCGGATGAAAATGCCATTTTAAAAAAATAGAAAAGATTTCAAAGGCAAAACGTCTCTTGATTCCCAATAAACGGACATTTTGAAGAAGACAACATAGTGACACTTATTTGAATAATTTGGTCAACATAGTTTAAAGCCCCATAGAGCAGAGCTCAATTGTTCCATAATGAATAAGCTCCTCAATCATTTGTTCAATGTGGTCTTCTTCAAGTGTTTTTAGGAATTGTGTATTGTTCCGGTTGTTTTCCGTTGCTCCTCCAACCGCCCAATTCGCGTTTGCCACCGGCTGCAAATCAAACGGTGGCAATGCTATTTGAGGTTTTTTCTCCGAAAACCAGAAGGCGGCATCTGTGTCCTGGTGTCCGAAAATAGCGGATGGATTGAGTGATTTCGAGGGGTGGCTCTGTGGCAACGATTCTTTCTCCAATTGAAGGGAGGCTTGAAGGTGACATTTTTGTAGTTTAGCTATTAAGGCTGGGGAGAGTAACTTGGCCGAGGATGTTTGGGGCGTGTTTGGGTCGTAGGGGAAGTTAGTTCGGGCCCTCGGGCCGCACATTAGTTTCGCAGCTTCATCGTACGCTCTCGCAGCATCCTCTGCTGTCTCGAACGTGCCTAACCAAATTCTCATTTTCCTACAAACCAAACACGCCCATAAGATAACCCGATTCTTTTTGCGAGCCAGATAAAACCGTTAAACTGAAAAATTAAAGCAGAGAAATTTTAAACAACTTACAGCAACGGGTGACGGATTTCAGATACCCACGAACCCCAATGCCGTTGTCGGACACCGCGGTAGCGTTGTTGGGATCGAGCCATTGTGGAATGCTATTGCACAAACTATGATGAGAGTTTTGGATGGGAGGGGTGTTTGGGTCAAGTGATTTGGTGTTGTTGGAAATTAAGGGGGTTTTGTTGTTGAAATGAGTCAAGGATGAGGCTAATTGTGAGGCAGGGGAGGGGAATGTGGTGTTTATAACATAAGAGCATATAAATAGTTGGGTCCATGGAGTGGACAAAAAACATATCTTTTCTCATAATCCATAATGCTAATTTGGGGGGTTTTGATAGGTTTTGCAAATAATACAATGGGACCGCACTTTGACTAGTTGACCGCAACCCCAATTCATTTAAAAGAGCACAAAAAATCTGCACTTTAAAAATATTCGGTTTGGGATTGAAGTAGACTTCTCAAGACTCAAAAATATGGGATTCATATTTTAAAATAAATTTTTCTTTTAGTTTGAGTGGTCCCAATTCGTGAATTTATTTTTTTTTAAAAAAAACTTCATTTGGATTTGAGCTCGAAAAACATTTCATACTTAATATTTCAGATTTACTATTTTTGATAATTTTGTTTTTCAGGTCTATGATAATTTTTTGTTTACAAGTGTTTTTCGTCAGTAAATAAGTATTCTTGTCAGAACCATAACTTGAGATGTATTTCATTGGGTCCTAAAAATTTTTCATCTTTTGATTTTTTTGGTCAAATAGTGACATACTTTAATTACAAACTGTGAGAAAAATATACTTAATTATAATATAAGTTGAATATAATTGAGTTTATTTTAGAATATAGTTTTGATATATAAAATTTTTATGTCATTTATTTATTTAGATTATGTTTAATTTATGGTAAAGAAATGTCACTATTTAACTACAAAACTAAAACAATAAAGGTTTTTAATAGTGAAGGGAGTAGTTTTTAAATATCCAACACCACAACTACAACTGAGTAAGAAGCACGCATGTGAACCACAACCGGCAGTCCTGGTCGTGGATGGGGAGTTGGAGCCGTCGGCGATGATCGGGAGGTGGCTGCGATTGACACGATCGCCTCCGCTGCGGCGCTGCAAAAGTCTTCCGCAATGAAATTCGATCTTTGTCGGGTCGACGATGATCGATCGGAAGATTTGAGATCTGCGATCGACGGATGAACTAGCGACTTCAATACTATATCCTCTTTTGACATTTAAAAAAAAAAACTTAAAAATGAGAAACAAATTCAAATTGTGATTTAGGAGAGAAAATGAAAAAGAAAAAGAACATGGGCCGGTTTCAATGCGTCCAAGAGAACCAACCAAGATGGGCGGCTCCCCATCGTCCTCAAGTATGCCCCCTCGTCACCTGGATACAGGACTCGGACCACGTAATTCGCGTATTAGTTTTCAGGATTCACGGATTTATTAGATTTAGGAGTATTATTTATATAATTCAAAATTTAATTTCATTATATTAATATGCAATATAAATAGAAATTAATTGATAATTAGACTTTATTTAATTTTACTTGAAAAAAAACATAAAATATATTAGGACATACTCCCTCCGTCCCCCTGTATTTGTCCACATTTGACTTTTGCAACTGTTCATCTAAGCACTTTGACTCATCAAATTCTCTCAATATGTAAGCCTAAATATAGTCATGTGTGATCTTGTTTGATTTGTCTTAACATATAGATTATTAATATATAATTTTTATAATTTTTTAATATACAAATTACAAGATAAAATGGATTAAAGAAGTGCATTGGATGGTGTGCAAAAATGAAAGTGAACAAATACATGGGGACGGAGGGAGTACTACAGAGTGAGTAACTTTCTATTTTGTTCGGTGGTTGAATTTGTGACTAGTGAGTAAAGCAGTTTTTTTCACAAAAGCTAAAAACAAAAACACCTTAGCTTTATATCTGTGACTTCGAAACGATGTTCTATATGTAAAATGGTGGTGGAGCAAAATAGAAGCTGACATAACAAACAACATAATCACATAAAGTAAAAAAAATTAAATTCTTCAGATCACAGCACTGCCAAACACGCATGAGTGGCTCAGAAGATGTGCAAAATGGCTAACCGCATAGGGCCCTTAAAATTTCAGGGCCACATAGTTTTAAATTCATCATTAATTTTGTAGCATAAATATTCTAAAGAGTAAATTCCATAATTGGTCCTTTATAGCAGGAGATTTCCATATTTAGTCCTCTATTATCAAATATTACCCATGTAGTCCTTTTTTTAAGAGTATCTTTCCTCAAATGGTCCTTTTTTGATCTTATGCCGTGTTGGTATTAATTTAAAGGCTAAAAATATAATTTGAAGTCAACATTATGTCTAGTGACGTGTTCTGATATTGGTTAAGCGGATAACACAAAATAATGACTATGATTGCGGGCTAGGATTCTGACGAAAGATCACATTTGTAGAATATAGTTGTCGTAAAAAGTGACTATAATTCACAAACGACGCAAACGAAACAGCCTTTGTAATTGTGTAGGACAAAAAAGATATATTATCATTGTGAAATTACGCTTTTACCCCTCAAATTAACACCAACATGATTGAATATAAAAAAAGACTATTTGTAGAAAGATACCTATAAAAGAAAGACCACTTGGATAATATTTAATAATAGAGGACTAAATAGGGAAACTCCCCTGTTATAAAGGACCAATTATAGAATTTACTCTATTCTAAAATAATAAAATTGGGTCCAAAGTGTAAATCATTTTTCGAGGCGGGTCCAAAATTTACACTTTCGATGGAGATTATATACTGTGAATGAATTGGAAAAGAACAAAACAGATCATATACTAATATCTAAAAAGATTTCATACAAAATTATTTAATTTACATTATAGTTTTTGGAAAAGATCAAAGCTAGCTAGTGATGGCGTGAAGACATGCATGACCATTGAGTCAATATAATTATCTTTGTGCAAGACCAATAAATTAAATTAATATTTTAACATGCACCATTATTACTGTGATTACATATATATATATATATGTGTGTGTGTGTGTATATGTATGTATGTATATGTATGTATGTATGTATCATAATAGTAATCATATACCCAAATCTTATGCATGCTATATATTTTTTTAAAAATATTGCAAGCCACTAGACAACATGCAGTTAATTTACATTAATTAACAAAATAGTTAATTAGGGAGTAAATAAATAGTACTCCGTAAAACTTTATTTCGTGGCAAGCACATGCATGTTGTGCTAATGATATGTATCAGAATATCAGATCATCAATGGGATATGTAGATAAAATAAATTAAAAGATTAAGGAGGAAATTAAAGATAAAAGTTTGGGATGAAGTTATATTAATATTATAATATAATTATTTCATGGCAATAATATTATTGTATGTAAATATGTTCATTCCCACCCCCACCTCGCCACTCCCACATTTTCTACTATTTTGTAGGAATAATTTTTTTTCCAATGTAGGTATCTACGGAGTATTTTTTGCTAGGAAGCTAAGGGATTTTTTTAATTAGTAGATTGTTTAGTTTTTAGTGTTATTAAATCTATTACAATATAGTATCAATTCATTAGTACATTATCAATATTTGAATGAAAAACAAAGATATTTTGAAATAATTTTAAAATATTTTAGGCAGCACATCTAATTTGTTTTTTATATATGATAGCTAGCGAATTTTCATTATAGAGCTCATTTCTCTAAGGTTTGAGTGAGGGCTGGGGGACGGGAGAGGGAGTGAGTGAGGAGTGGAGGAAACCTTTTGCTTTGTTTGTGAAATTAGAGCGCTCGAGTAATTACTGAGAAAATGAACTTTCATCCAAAGAAAAGAAAAGTGATTTTTTTCCTCTCAGAAAGAAATATTTTTTCTTTCTTTTAGTGAACTATCCGATCGGTGCTAAGTGGCACTCGGAGATGAGGTTCATCCTTTAAAAATATGAATAATGCGGAGTACGTAAAACTGTTAGTGGCACTAGTAGTAATTTAAATATAAACATTATTAATATTAATATTAGTATTGAACTTTATTGAACATAACCAAACTGAATTTAATTGAAGTGAACTAATAAATATTGGGTTTGAATAAAATTGAATTGATCAATTTAATATTGAAATTAAATGTTATTGAATGACATCTATGTAAGCAAGACTTTGATGTTACCTAAAAAATGCAACTTAATAATAAAAAAAGACATTAAGTTTATAATTGAGGGTCAAGAATATCTATTCACTCTAACTGGCATGTTTTGTATGTGATGTTTGTAAAGGATTACAGAAATATTATATATTCGCATTAGTTTTAACTGATCGAAAATCGGTAATTAGATTTTGTAGAACCAATACAATACTACGTATTAATTTTAAATAAAATTTGAATACTCCACTTGTATTAAGTATGAAGTGAGTCTCAAATCTTGTACTACCTTTGTTCTGCAAAGTCCTTCTTTTGATTTTTATGAGATATAAAAAAGAGATATTTTTATATTGAGCCTTCAAGATTACTTTTGATGTGATGCATAAAAATAGAATATGGTAAGTAGATTTTTAGTGAATAGATATGATGTGATTGCGTAAAAATATTTTTTCAATAGAAAAGAAACAATAAAAAGTTTGTAAGACACATTAAGTAGTAATAATTAAAGTCTAAAGTCTAAAAGATGAGGTATGATAATTGGAAAAAAACGAAGAAAGAGCTCAAAAAAATTAATAATAAAAATAATAGTCCTACACACATTTTGCATGTTCTTCCATATTTTCCTAGCTTGTGAACATGGGTCTCCTAGTATGTAGCATTTGTTGGATTGCGACCTTCCCACATGGCTTTGGCCTTTAGCTGTTTTTTATTTTTTTTTCTTATAGTTGGAAAATAAATAAAAAAATTATGCTAGTGTCTCCTTTAGCTGTTTATTTAATTTGATACACCTTTAGCTGTTTGTCACTCTATATCTTTTTATTTTATTTATTTTGGTTATTTGAAAAATGCACGGAAGAGAATCTGTTGGTTTTTCTTCCAATAGGTTCAAAAAAAAACTAAGGACGTTTTCAGAACAAAAAATATTACTTAATTTGAGACAAATGAAGTTTACAAGTTAATTTTTTTTCATTGATTTTTATTTCGAACACAAAAATTTTGAGTTTAAACATTTTAAAAATGGTACATTTTAAAAAGAATTTAAAAAACATTTATATGAAAAAAGAGAAGAAAGATCAAGATAACAAACAATATAATGAAGAAAAAAGAGAGGGAGCATACGTGGTGCCTATTTCCAAAACCACATGAGGCGGCCGGCAACAGAACTATTCGCCTAATATTTAAAGGGTATTTTATTCTAAAGAGACATTGACGTAAAAATATCTCAACGAGGAAGGGAAATGACATAAATTTTGAAAGAATGATGAGAATCGGGATATTGATGAAATAAAGTCTAACTACGAGCTTCTACAATTATGGATATATGGGTTTTAATTAAGCCTTGTAGAATCAAAAAGTGTCTTAATTTATTGCTACCTTTTTTCATCAAACAAGCTTTTGCTTTAGTTTTGATTAAAAATTATTATTGTTTAGTATTCATCGAGAAAAATGTTGTTATTAATAATACTAATTATGTTTCAAAATTATATTTTTTTAGGGGTGATAAAGAGTTGAACCCAATCATAAACTTTGCGAGCTTGAATCGGTCAAATCGTGGTTAAACCCAGCTCGAAAAGGTTGGGATAGAATTATTCCACTTCGATTCGCTAATATTTTTAACGAGTTTATTTGAATATAGAAAAGTTTGTGAGCACTTGATTTATCTTTCTTTTTTTTAAATTTGTGTAATAACATTCATCTATATTTTCATTAAAAAAAAACATTCATCTCTATTTGAAAAGCTTTTAATGAAAAACGTTAACTTTCTAGAACTTAACACCTAAACACACAAAAAATAACTTGAGTAAGCTTATCAAAAAATAAGTTGAGCTTTAATTGATATACCGGCCTTTAATTGATGCTTAATTATTTCAAAACTTAAATACTGACAAATACTCAAATTCGTTTTGGCACATATTCTTCACGAGCTCAAGCTAAAAATAAATCTACTCGTATTAAATTATATTCTACGGAATAATTATCAATTGATTTGGATACAAGTCTACAATTTATTTATAACCTATGTATTTTTAGAAAGTTTACCATTTTTTAAACAGAAAGTTTATCATTTAATTACAACAAACTATATGTATGTATATACAATACACTCGTATTAAATTGTGTGGAGTCAAACTACAAATTTTACCTAAACTTAAGGATCAAATTTGGCAAAAAAAAAGGTGGACTAAAGATAGTCAATGGTCAATGACCAAACATGGTCAATAATGAACTATACAACAAAATTAAAGTAGCAAAAACAAATAGTGGGTAGAGAAATATAAATTAGCTCTAAATTCTAAATGAAAAAAAAATAATTTATCAAATATGAGCATATCACATCTGTATATGAATAATATGACCAATTAATAATTGATACATTTTAGATTCTCAATTTCTCCCGATTAATTATGCCGCAGCCCATGGGATTTGTCCAGCCTTTGTATCTTTGACTATTCTTTATTTGTGTTTTCACAAGTTCGTGTAGAAGAGGGTACTATCGATCATCCAAGTGTCAACAAGTTGTCCCTATTCTCCATTTCCATGTGATCTTTGCTCATTTTTCTTTATTATCTTTAAATGTGTTTGCCCAAGTAATGCTGACATGGATTATTTTAACTAATGAAATAGTAAATGATATGTGAGTGGAGTGACAAGTTATTGTTTTTGTTACGTTTTACACTTTTTGTGTGTTTTAAATATTAAAAATTATTTTAATTATTTATTTTATCAAAAACTACTTCACCTTATTACAAAAACGGGTTTTTTTATCAAAAGAAGAAAGGATGAGGACTGCCACGCATAAACCTCTCCATGCATGGGGAGGAAAGCCAAAAATAAGAAATTTTGCTGAAGTGGTCTGGCATGGCATGGCAGGCCACCCCTTCGCCGCTGCTTGTCCTCTTGTACTCTCTCCGTCCCATAAAGTATTACCCATTTTGACTAAAGTAGAAACTAAGGGAGTAATAATTTTGTGTTGACTTTCCAAAAATACCCTTGATGTGATGGGTAAAAGTAGGATGTGATATGTATATTATTAGGAAAAAAGTATGATGTGATAGGTAGGGTTTGAAAAAGTAAGGGGTAAAAGTGGTTTTTTAATAGAAACGGGTAGGAGATTGTGGGACACAATTTTTTTGAAAAGTGTAAATCTTTTTGGTACGGAGGGAGTATATGTTTTTGCCAATTAATTTTTTTCTGGGTTTTTAATTACTTCCCTCGTTCATCAAAACTCTTCCTATCCTATTTCGTTTTCATGTGCGAAATTCCATTTTTTTAAAAATAATTTTATTATGTAACGACTCTCAAAAAAGAAGTTGAAACACCAAACTAATGTAAAATATAGGTAGAATTAAATTTAAGAATGTGATTATTTTATATGCCTATATTCACAAGCATAATAATATGCACTCATAAACATGCTTAAAACGATTTTTTAAACTGAATCTTGCACACATATAAAAATATTTTTCATTGGGTATTTGTTTTTTTAGTAAAATATTCAAATAAATATTTTCAAAAAATATATTTTGCGAATTTCAAAAAACTTACAAAACAAAAGGTGTAAATTTTTTCAATACGAGATTGCCTGTTTTTGAATCGCTCAATTCCAATAAGTATTGAAGAAGTTATGACCATTTTACTAATTAAATCTTAGGTACCTTAATGCTGCTCCTTAAAGATATTCGAATTCACTAAGTCTCCGCCTCTTGAACTCCGTGAAAGTACAATACTAGATTTGGCAAACAACCCTTGCCAATAGGATTCACCTCGAGATTTCACAACGGCTATCTCGAACCGCTACAACAAAGATTTGAAGGCTATCTTCAACCTTTTCTCCCAAGAATTTGAAGGTTATCCTTGAACCTTTTACCCAAGAATTTCATGGCTATCCTTAACCGTCTACACAAGGATTTATACGGTTATTCTCGACCGTTACAATTGATGAAGAATGTGTCTTAAAATACAAAAAAATATTCAACATACACCTTCATTTTGGTCTATGATAAAGAAACATATCAATCTTTGACTGGTGAAGAATGAATGTTATACTCTTTAAAACAATACAAGATCAATATTATAAATATGAGAAAATATAGGTATATTCACACAAGCTCAATGTGTGTGTATAAAATCAAAACAAAAACAAGACTCTTTTAGCCAAAGTATAAATAAAGATTTAAGAACAAGAACAAAAACACAATTTAGAATATGGGAGATTAGAGTTTGGATTCTTGATTAAAATCAATGAGAATAGTTGGGTATTCTTGATTAAAATGATTTTCTAAACTCAATCTTGCACACGTGCAAACAAAAATTTCCTTTGCCGTATTTATTTTTTTAGTAAAATAATCAAATAAACATTTTTTAAAATATATTTTGTGAACTTCAAAAAACTTATAACACAAAATTTAATTGACCAATTAAATTTATTTTTAATTGAATTCTTTAGTTTTTATATTGAGACATTGTTTATTTAGATTGCTAAATAGAGCAGAATGCTAAAAAAAACTAAAAAAGGAATGACTGAAACGAGAAATAATGAGAAAAAACAGGAGAATTGAAAAAAATTAGAAAAAATTGTGATATATTAAAAAATTAAAGACATGAAAAATATTGAAAGGAATTGAAATAAACATTACTTCTTTCAAGAATCTAACTAGAATATATGAACTCACAAACCAAAAGCTTATATTAAAAGGAATTTCCCTATATAAAAATAAAATATATATCTAAAATACCAAAACAGGAGTCATCTTGTTTAAACTTCTAATTAATAGGAGTCTAATGGCACTGCCATGTAAGAGTATTGATAGTTTGATTATAAAAAAAGTGATGATTGTGTGATTTTGCAATGTAATAAGTCAACCGTCGAGGGACTACCAGTTAACGTCGGTGACCGGCAGTGGCACTCCGGTGACTGGCAGCGATGAGTGAAAGTGTGAGAATGATAGTATGACGGTTGAGGTATGACAATGTGGTGCGTGTAACAGTGTAATGATGATAGTATGAACTCCTATTTATATATTTTCTATTTTTTGCTCTTATTTAGGGATTTCTCTCATATTAATCTCAAAACCTAAACTGCCACACACAAAGGAGAATAGTCCTTTATATAGGGATAGATCTTGTTCTCCAAAAAAGAAACAAATAATTTTTTTTTTAAATATATACTTTTTTTGGCCAAGTATACATCAATCTAAGCCAAAAATAATTTAATATATTTCTTATTACATATGAAAAGTATTAAAGAAAGAAGATTTTGTCTATGAAAGCATTTAATCTATCATACTCCATATTAAATTAGCAAACTCCAAATAAGGAAGTCAATTTACCTTTTATCTATTTTTAATTATTTGACTGGGCATAAATAGAAGCATTAAACGATGTTTCCAAACAAGGCCATTATCTTTTTTCCAATCCATTCAAAGAATATTGTATGGATTCTGTTCTCATTATATATCCCTCACTCATCTAAATTACAGTTGAAATATTTGGGAGATATCGGGTCTGTTTGGGAATAGCGTTAGAGATTAGCGTCGACGTTTTGAAAAAGGCTATCTACGGCAAGCGTTTAGCGTTAGCGTTTTCAAAGTAATCTGCACCATTAAAATTTTATCCAAAACGCTAACGTTAATCTCTAACGCTATTCCCAAACAGGCTCATCATTCACATCACAAGAGGAAATATGTAATGTGACTCTCTTTATCATTCTCAATGGATGTCTAGATCCAAAGTAGAGAGATGGAGAGAAGAGATGTCAGTGAGATGTTATTAGTTCCATGACCAAAAAAAACCTCAGTGATTGTTGAGAAACTTGAAGCGTCCCGCGAAGATCAATGCCTGAAAATCACAGTTCCTGAGAAACACTTAGCGTCCCACCAAGATGAATGGGTACCAGAGGTATAAGAGAATGCAACACGTCTGTTATCAATGGACGATAACTTGGCTCCGGCTGAACGCAGAGCACAGCAACAGCTGCAACCTTTAAAAAAAAAAGCCCAAAAAGAGATTCTCATAATTGGGATGGGAATGGCATTGCTGCATTTACTACCCAAAACTTCATTGTAATTTGTGAGCAAGAAGGGAAGTTTATGGTGCCATTTTGATTTAGTGCATTATTCACCTGGCAAAGATGGCAAATCTTGAGATGGCAAAACTTAAAAGAAGAAAAAGAAAGAACCTGGCAGAGATGCTTGATGTCCATTGAGTCGCGAATCGCGGGATCAACAATGCTTGGAAGCTTTGATCTGTCTGTGAGTTGTGGCATGGCCTGTGTTCCATAAGAACTTATATTATATTATATACTTATTATAATATAAATGAAGCGAGTGAATCTTCACGATTCCTACCCACGTGACGATAGACTGGCATTGAGCTGGTTCCAGTTTCTCCATTGGCCTTCTTCCTAGTAGAAGCTCTAAAAGCACAACTCCAAAGCCATAGACATCACTTTTCTCTGTTAGTATTCCTGCAAAAAGATCAAATCAATTTGGCATCTTCATCAGGAAGTGTCAACTGTCAAATATATATACATATTGATTTTAAAATGTATCTTAGTTGCCCTTGGTTAAATAAGCTTTAAAGAACAACTTAGATATCATACCATCTAGTAGGTACTCTGGAGCTACATAGCCAACAGTTCCTGAGAGCTTAATCTTGTTCTTGTTTCGAGCCATGTGACGCACAGCAAGACCGAAATCTGAAAGCTGAAAATGCAATTTCAATCTAGGAACTCAGACTGAAATTTACATTTTACAAAGAATGTACCTTGGCATTGAAGTTGGCATCTAGAAGAATGTTTGAGGATTTCAGGTCTCTATGGATGACGGGCGGTTTGCAGCGTTCATGTAAATATTCTAATCCCCTGATCAAATTAAAAAAAAAACTCAGTTACTTCACATCCAAAATGAAAGCCTTGTTTTTGTGCTAAATCCCTCAGAATTTAGGGTCTGGGTAGGGTGCGTGTACTGACCTTACCCTTATTCAAAAGTAGAAAGGTTGTTTCCAAGAGACCTTAGGCTCAAACAAAGTACACAAAGAAGCACGGATAGAATATCAAACCTTGCAATATCAAGGGCAATTTTCATTCTGCGGTTCCACGTTAATGCCGATCCATGAGAGGGTCCTAATCCAATGGAAGATTAAGAAAATCAGACGGTTACGTTAGGTAGTTGAGATTTTCACATTCCCATTATTCATTCTCTGTGCGCAGTTGGGTAGCCAAAATGTAGTTTTACCATGCAGTTGATTTTCCAGAGAACCATTCTGCATCAATTCATAAACTAGCAGCCTGGTCTCAGCATGAATGCTATATCCCAACAGTGAAATTATATTTGGATGCTGAATTGCACTCAATACCTCTTTCTCAGTCTGCAATTGCCAACAAACACACCCAACCATTACCGTTTAGAGGGTAAAAAACGATGAAAAATATCCCAATATTTTATAAATATTCATTCAAATTTCAATATTCTGAAGTCTCGATCAAGAAATTTTTCTAGAATCTCGATAAATATCAGAAAATGTCGACAATTATAGAGAACATAACAAAGAAGTTTATTGGAACCTCAAATGTTGTTACTGAATCTGGTCTTCCAACTTCAAGCCTCTTCACAGCAACATAAAAGTTCTCTTCTACTTTTCCCTTGTACACAGACCCAAACCCCCCTCCACCTAAGATCTCACTCTCTTGAAAACTCTTTGTGGCTGATTCAAGTGTGTCATATTCCCACAAAGAAACATGCCCTTTCCAAATACTTGACTTCAAAGAGGTCTGTTTTCTAATGTATGATGAAAATGGATGCCCATTAACAATATCTTCAGAGCAAAAACATTCAAAGAAAACAATATCAGAACATAAACATCTCAAAAAACAAACACTTCTCATGCACTCCCTCCGTCCAGATTTTGTTCGCGTCTTCTTTTTGGAAGTCCAGAATTCATTGCAAGCTTACCATATTTTAAAGAACAAATTATTCTAAAATATTAAATATACCATCTAAGAACAAATTATTCAACATTTCCCTTTATGTCTGTCCTACAAAAATACTTAACTTTCTTTTTAAAAGAATGAATGAATAGCTCACAACTCTTCTCTTTCCTCTAAACAAAATTAAACCATAAAGTTTTCATTTTTCAACACCTTTTTTCTTAAAATCCATCTCTGAAAGTCAAACAAGAAAGTTTTTTGTTAGAATTAACATGGTTGACATTTAATGAAAACTACATTATTCTGAATAACCAGATATACCCTTTAATTTCAAGGATTTGTTTTGTAATTTCAAACACATTTCTTGAAATTCTTGGAAAGTGAACAGCATATATTTTGGACGGAGATCAGAGACATCTATGGGTGGAGAAAGAAAAAAGAAATTTTAACCTGGTGGAATATGAATGGCGTCCCTGTGAGATTTCTTGATTTTCTTTCTTTGATAAACCCAGAAGCACCCCATGAGCAAGAATATGGTAGCACACAGCGTTGAAGATGCAGCAATTAGTGATATGAGCAATTTCCTAATCAGATCCATATATGGGGTTTTATATTTTCTTCTTATTATTATTATTACTCCGTTTGTGAATCAATTTTCTATCTGGTTGCAAGAAAGGCAACTAGTCAAAGCAAGTTACTTCGGTTTCAAAAAGGCAAGAAATCAAGAAAGCCAAAAAATGAACAGAAAAATAAAATTAGAAAGCCCAAAAAACTTTGGCAATGAAGATTACTGAAAGTTATAGCAAAAGGGGGTCATTATTCATTAATGAAATGTGGAAAATTAAAATCTTTTTGAATTCCTTGTCTTAATTATAGCCATGTGGTCGCTCCCAGAGTTTGAAATTTAAAGTTTTGAACTTTTGGAAAATTATTAATGGCAATGCCGGCAGACAACACAACAAATGTCATTATGTTGCAATTAACAAAGTTTGATTATGAACTTTTTCCCTAACTTCAGTGGTAACACAATGATTTTTCAAGATTCGTGTAAAAGTTTACCAAAGTACGAATCCTAGCGAAGGCAAAATATTGGTTTCATATGCGTCATTAAGTTAAAAAAATAAGAACGAATGCTACGTATTAATCGATTCAATAACACACAAAAATGATTATATACCCCAAAGAACAAACCAAGTTTGATTTTCATAAAAAAACCAAACAAAAATTTGATCTAACTTATTTAAATACTCGCTTCATCTCAGAATTGTCTTCCTGTTAACTTTTTCTTGGTCGAAAGTTTTTAACTTTGACTCTAAAATATAGAGATCAAAAAATATATTCAATTATGACACAAATTTAATATCAATCAATTTATTTTGAAATAAAGTTTAAAAACATAATATTTTTAAAGTATAAAATAATATAAAAATAGAAATATTAATAGTTATAGTAGTATATTAGCGACCGTAAAAAAGAAAATATGAAGAAAATTATGGGACGAAGAGAGTATTAATGTAAAATTTAAAATCAAAAAATATTTAAAAAAATATAGACAAAAAAGATATTTCATTAGTCCCAAAATTATCACCCTACTTAGATTCTTATAGTCTTTTTTTATCACATATTAAATAAACGAATGTTATGAAAAAATATTATATCAAAATTACATCTTAAAGTTATGTCATGTTCTCTTCGCCTGATGATCAGATTGAAATAAGTTCTGATCTGATTTGATTTGGTCTGATCTGATCTGAATGTAATTATATTTAAAGCTATTTTAATCTGACCAATAAAAATAAATAATAAGTAAAAAAATACGTTGGGGAGAACATGGTTAATCTCTTTATACTTAAACGTATATATAGTTGTCTCCTTATATATATATATATATATATATATATATATATATATATATATATATATAATATATATATATATATATATTTATATATTAAAAAGATAAATTTTAAGATATAATTTTAATAAATCAAATAATTTTTATTTAACCATTTTCTATTCACTAAATTTAAATGTGTAAAGACCTCCTCCACCATTTCAAAATGTGACGTGGTTGCCATGCAAAGTCACCATGACTTAATTGTCACCCTGGTCCCTTGACTATATATGGACATTGTGGATAGGCACATTTTTGTTTGTTTAGAAATTTTGGTGCTCCGCAATAAATATGGCGGCAAATAGAATTGAATTTTACTTTGGAAAATGCTAGAGTCACAAACATATAGTTCACAAACTTCACAAACTTGCTTTTTGTGGATTTTAAATTAAAATATCTTTTATTATTTGAGTACATCTTATCTCTAAAAAAGTGCTAAAAAGACAAGTTTGTGAATTTTGTGAACTGTTTGTTTGTGACTCTAGCATTACTCTTTTACTTTGGAGTGCAATCAATTCAGAGTTTAAAAGTTTTTTTGATAGATTTGTTAGAATCTATGGATTATATAAAATCAAAAGATTATTTTAAGTTTACGAAGAATTAGAGAGATTTTAACATAGTTTTCAATAGGATTTTGTCTGATTGTTTAACTGTATTCTATTCAAATTTTAAAAAATCATTTAAAATCTGACTGTATTCAATCCAGATTTTAAAAAATCCTTCCAAATATGACAGTATTCAAAAATTGATAGATTTATAAATATTTGTAATCAGACAAAATCCTACTGAAGGCTATGTTAAAATCTCTCTCAGCGTAAACTTAAAATAATCCTTTGATTTTATATAATCTATAGATTTTAACAAGTTAAGATACGAGTATATTATTATTACGGAGTATAAGTTAACAAAAAAATTATTCATTAGAGGCATGATAATTTAAAATAATAAAAAATGGCCCATCTTCAGCCCAAATTGGTTTTAACGCCTAGCATTATCAGAAAAGCGTTTCGAGCCCAATGGCGCAATCGCTATGATTTTTGTGTAATATATAGAGTGTAGACTTGAATTAAACCACTTGCGGGGATAGCTCAGTTGGGAGAGCGTCAGACTGAAGATCTGAAGGTCGCGTGTTCGATCCACGCTCACCGCATTATTTTCTGGTCTTTTAATTATTCCATTTCGGCCCCACAATTTAGCACTTCCTCAATCACCCACCCTCATCTACGCATTTACGCCCATTTCCTTCAACTTCTCAAAACCTTTTTTTTTAATTCCGGCCCTGCAATTTCTCTTCATTCTTCAATCATGCCCATTTCCTTCCACTTCTCAAATTTCAAATTTTAACCGCGAATAAAATCCTTAGTTTTTTTTTTCATTTTGGCCCCAATTTCTCTATGTTCTATTGTTCTTCAATGACGCTTATATTTTCTTTAGTATGATTGTAATTTTGAGTATTTTTAAATATGTTTGTATGCGTTTAACATTTGGTTTACTTACTTCGTTTCAGATTAATTCTTCTGGTTGCATATCTTTCCTTATCATGTAAATACCGTAATGGTCATTCAATTGAGCTAAATACAAATGTGTATCCTACTTTAGATTACAAGAAATCAACACTTGTAGTCTGTCCAAATTTGTTGGCCATTCTTCAATGTTATTGTACATAAGAGTTCACCTTTACTTGTACCTAGCGAATAGGCGGCAAAGAGCTCTTACTGACCGGCATTGGTAATTGTGTGCTTTGTGACTCACAACCTATATCTGTGTGTGTATTATTCTGTAAATTTTTTGTACTTCACAAAATATATTGTCAACTTCCTCTCCATAGATTTTTTAGAAAAAAAATGTAAGAAAAATTAAGTTTTAAGAAAAATATTCCGTAGAAATGACCTATGATAGGGGAGGATGGGAGGAACGTAATTGAGATAAATCATAGTTTAATCTCAATCTAGTTCTTAAAGAAGCCATCTCGTGCCCAGTAAGCACTAGAAACTATTACAAATAATAAAACTCTCACACTGCTGTTAGAATTTGACAACCTCCCCTTGGACTAATTAAGTTACCCATGCGTGCGGCACATACCCTTGTAGTTTTTAAAAATAGTTGTAGAAAATTTAATATTTACTAAAATACCCTAAACAAGTGAGTGGAGCATGTCAAAAGAAGTGGATGTAATAATATAAATAAAATAAGTGAAGGTAATTGTAGTATTTTAAATATTAAAAAAAGTAATGGAAAGATCTTTTACAAACAAACAAAAAAGACATTAGGAAAGGTCTATGGAGAGTATATTTTAATGTTGGCTATAGATATTTACGTTCTTGTATCCCACTAAACACTAGAAGCAGATGAAGAATATTTATCAATTAAATTAAAATCTAAAATAAAATAAACATTGGTTAAACTTACCATATCATTCGAAGCTATAGGATTATAATGTTCATTTGCTAATCTTGATCATTAATGAAAGCTTATTACACTCTCTTTTGAATATAAACTTATGAAACATATGCCCCTATAGACCTAAACAATCTAATACATCATACTTTAATGCCTGCACAATGGACAAAAGTAGAAGGTATGTTGACAGAATAAACCAAGATAGGGCAAAGACCCAAAAGCTTGCAAAAATGGATGGATGTCGAACGAGAACCAAGAGTCCAGTATAAGGAATCAACACCAAGAACAACCGACCGAGAGGAGTTTACGGTTGACTCTTCGTGCCGACTGGTATGACCGAGCCACAGAACAAACGGGCTCTACACAAGGTCATGTTAGCTCGATTCATCGATGGTTAATTGTGTTGGGAAACTACAAATAACTGCAAGACTAATTGTTATTTACAGCTGTGAAAACTGTACATGAAGATTAATCAGAATGAAAATCAAACCTAACCTATAAACATTTGTATTATGGTATATGTATATGTATGAACTAGTATATCTTATAAGTCAGAACCATTCAACTGTGCAACTAGGATAGAAACCTGCTTCTGAAGCCGCTGCAGAAAGCGAGTGGAGCTCTTTCATAGTCTTCATCCTCTCATAGAAAATGGAACAAGCCAGAGATGTGCACTTCACTCCACTTTCAAGAACCCAATCTCCACCTCCACAATGCCGGCATATCTAGAAGGTGAAAACGACAAAAACGAAATCATTACCCAAAAAAAGGTTTAACATGTTTATCTGTACTTTGTGAAATATAAAAAGCTCAGTACCAACAACCTTATGAACAACATTTTTTTGTTTCCAGAAGAGCAACAATATCGGAGAGTTGTGTATAAAGATTTTTCATGGATGGCATGATTTTGGAAAAAATGGGAGGGTGTGAAGAAAGGGAACGAAATTGAAACGAAAAGTATGTACAGATAAGAACATCTATTTTGATTCATAAGTAGTTTATGAACAGGCATCCACATCAAGTAACTTCGAAGTTCGAATCCGTTTACACTAAGATTGGTACTCACAGCAACAAGGCGATGCATGTCCATTTCCAGTTTAGAGGTCCTTCCCGTCAAAGCTACAGCAATACTAGATTCATTCTTAGAACAATTATGGCAGAGAAAAGCCAATCCCTGTACCAAATCACCACACAAGATACAATGTTTCGAAAGGTAATAATAGTCGATCCTTTTTCGTTGAGCATTTGGAGCAAAAACACCACGTTTTCCGACAGATCCTCGTTCTGGTCGAGGCATTCCTTGAAACCATTGGTTCAAGTCGGCTCCAACAAGCCCAAAGACTCGCTGCAAAGCTGGGATAATTTGTTTCTGGATGTAGTATGTGTCATTTATTCTGTGAGGTGAATCAATGGTTAAGAGGTCCAGAGGGTCCACCACAAGATCAGCAAGCCGAGCACCAGGTTCACCATGTACTACAACATAAGGTACTCGCTCTGCATATCGTGGTTCCGCCCTAGGGTCTGTTCTCATTGCTTTGGTTGCAACAATAGCTGCAGGAGGAAGTGAGTAAGATCGTACACTGTAAGTTCCTAAGCGTACCTCCTTTGAAAAAACAAAATCCTGCAAATCAACTCTTCCAGATATGATCCTGGTCCACTGACGTACCAAGTACGCTTTAACCTATAAATAAATAAAAAGGACAATGTTTTCTCAACGTAGGGATATATAAAAAAGCTATAAAAAAACAAAAGTAAATCCAATCAGAACCAGAATGACATCTATTGATATATAATATATTTCATTTGACACTGTTTATTAGGTACTGTCACTTGTTTTTAACTTCCGTTTCCGTGTTGTTCAAGACATTATGTCCATTGTCAATGAAGCTAAAATAGTCGTAATTTACAATGTTTTAGCTTCAGGTAAATAATGCACTAAATCAAAATGGCAAATTAAACTTCCTTTGCATCTTAGTCTCAATGAAGTTTTGGGTAGTAAATGCAGCACTGCATCAAGGGTCTAGCGAAAGCAGTCTCTGTATTTTACAGGGGTCTTGACCCCAAGAAGTTGGGATTATACTGGGTTGTTCTAAAGTTGGGATTACATAATCCATTTTTATCCCCACTATGTCATCCAAAGAGCCTCTTTACCTCCCTTACTAGTTACAATCATTGTCCTCGATCAGATTGGAGATTCTGACGTTGCCTACGTGTGGCTCAACACATGTTAAATCAAATCTAACAGCTCCAGCACCCTCTTCATCTCATTCTGCTCCTCAGCCTCCTCCCATTGCACCTTGCAAAGGTATACACTCCTCTCAAACTCTCTTATTCAAAATTGTTTGATTTACCATCATTTATCTTCACTTATTATACTTATGTGTCTTCTTTATCCATTCTTATTATTCCTAAGACTGTCCAAAAGGCATATTCCATTATTCCCATCCAAACTGGCAATACACTATTATTCAAAAAATGAAAGTCCTGGATTTTAATCACTTAAACCCTAGTTATATCACCCTAAGAACATTTCCTTGTCAGCTATCAATGGGTCTTTAATGTTAAGGTTGGACCTGATGGAAATGTTGATAGTTTCAGAGTCGGTCTCTAGGGCAAAGGGTATATTCAGGTTTATGGGATTGGTTATAGTTATACACTTTCTGTATGTAACTGAAAGTATGCACATGACATCTTGGAAGAAATTTGGTTGCTAAATTGCAAACCAGAATACACTCCTATGAATCAAAATGTTAAACATTTACTACACCATGGGGAACCATATTCTGATCCAGGAAAGTGAACTTTTTTATGCATAAGCTTCTTTGTGGGATGGAGGGAGTTTAGGAATACCGAGGTCACAGACCTTGTCAAGAAACCAATTCAACCAAAAGCTTAAGCTTATGGTTGTGGACTTGTGGCTCAGGAATGGTTTTTATATACTCTAACACGCTAACTCACATGCACGCGTGACTTCTTTGAGCCTTGCCCGTGAAACCTTAATTTTTTTAAACTGGGTGGCGGTGAGTTTCAAACTCGTGATTTTTTGATCATCAAGGCTCCAATACCATGCCAAGGAACCAATTCAACCAAAACCTTAAGCTTATGGTTGTGGCCCAGGAATGGTTTTTATACACTCTAATACACCTACTGACCTACACTATTGTTTACTCTGGTGTAGTCTGGACAGGATCTCATAGATCAATGTGAACAGCTTTCCGGTTCAGTATTTCTTTTGGAGGTAATCTTATTTCTGAAAAAAGATGCAAGGTGGTCTTGCAAAAACAAGTCTTGATGCATAGTATAGGGCCATGGCTCAGCCTCTCACCACATGTGAACACATTGGGCTAAAGTGATCACTCCAAAACTAAATATATTAGAGTATCTGTGGAATTAATTCGTGAGAATCAAGACCCTCTGCATATTGCCCCCAATATTTTCATGAAAGAATCAAACATATTGAAAATGAATTTTTCCTTTATAGTTTATAATTTATATGGGAATAAATTTTATCCAATGAAAACAGCATGTCATTTGTCAAAACCACTTATCAACTCGCAAATATCTTCACCAATTCTTTCTGAATATCTCAAAGAAGCTACATTTGTAACAAGCTTGGTGCTTATGGCGTGTACGCACCAACTTGACGGGGTGATAACTAATTCATCAGTCATGATTGTGTGCATGTATTTAGCTATAAAGGTTGACTTGTAGACTAGCTATCTACTTTAGTTTTCTTTTTCTCTCTGTATGAACCAAACTCTCCAAGACAAGGAATTGGTATTCTTGACTTCATTCATTTAGTTCCCTATTTAAAGGGTATTGGAGGAATGCAATGAGACACAAGACATAATTCTAATCTGATATTCAAGTACATCAACGATTTAAAAATTTCTTAGATAGGGTAATCAGAATACAGACACACACATACAGGGCTCAATATGCTAAATTGTAAGCTAAGCTTAATCATAGATTACTAAAATGGTATTTCAATAGGCATCAAGAATGAAATATGTATGATTTATGAACTCTGATAACCACTAGCAAAAGTCAAGCTCCTCTGGCAACCGGCAGAAAAACAGTGGTATAAGCATTCACCAATGAATGCTATCTTGCAGTGCCTTGCACCATTGTAGATTGATTTTTTTAGGAGGCGACCAGGACATAAAATTCTTGAACATTAAGATATATAGATAACTGTAAGTCAAATTCCCAAACTTCTTAAGGTAGAGTGTTGTGTATGTACTTCATAAAACAGTTTCTAGTCACAAAGTTCTTGATTAGATTTACAGTGTACCCGTATGGAAGAGTTACAGTACTACGAGTTTTTTCTCAGACTCACTAACAAGGTAACAAAATGTGTGCCGAGGTGTACTTAGAGAGGATTGTCAAAGTTATGGAAACCGTAGTTTATAACCGAACGAGACTAGTCCTGAGAGTATTGATATAGGTTGTTATCGTTTCTTGGTAATGAGAAAACATGGATGGTACACCTTTTCCATTTTTAGAGTGACTGGATGAGGGTTTCTTGCAGATACTTCAGTTGCAATCTCGTTACCAATTCGAAAGGCATCATTAAGAGAACACCCTTTGAGTAGTACAAACATACTGGATGAACAAATGAAACAAATAAGTATAATAAACTAGAATCATATTTTGTATGTAATGAAACAAAATAAAATTCTTTTCATTTCATTTCGGGCAAAGAAAACACAATCAAGACCTGGTAGATTTAAAACAAAATGAATAACCTCGTGCTAAAGTTAATCTTTTAGCATAATAATATGATGAGAACATGTTTTATGCATACAAAATAAGCTGCAAAAACACATTATCTTCCATCAAGATTAATTTTTCAAGATGTCGCACCTGTCAGTATCACCATAAATAACTTTAGCCTTCCATTTATCATTTGTGTTTACAAATGAAATTGCATTTTCCAGTGTTCTACGCCCACATTGAACTATACTGTCAGCCAGCTCAGCACAAGGCATTCGTCCACTAAATCCAGCAGCTGTATAGCCATATGTCACATTTGAAATAAGTTTCAATGCAAGTTGTCTTGCATTGAATATCCTGTTAAGTACCTTCTGGGAAACATCTAACTTCTTCATTGCTTGTTTGACCATAATCCTAGTTTCCAAGAGTTCTTCCAACATGCGTGGAAGGACTCCTTTACGAACATCAGAAGGAACAAACATAACTCCATTTGGTGTTAGAAGTATTTTATCTTTTATCTTCTGCAAAATATTTCTACCAGGTGAATAAGAACTAACGCCAAGGATATTGGTCTTTGAAGAAGTGATTTTTCCAAGACATGTACTGTAGCATAAATTATATGCAATTATCATCGATGGATAAAGTGATTGAAAATCAAGGACAACAACAGGATCAGCATAAAATCCAGATTGTGGTTCCATATGTTCTCCGTCTGTAAGGTAACGTCCGACTTTCCGTTGAACAACCAAAGGGCCTCTCTACCGTTATATCAAAACCCTTACTCGGTTGGAATCGTTTTATCTAAGGTGGGCCATGACACTGGGAGCACTCTCTTGACTTTTTTTTAGTTACGGTTTCTAAGCACGTTCGAGACTACAGGCCAACTAGTATAGATCAACCTTTATAATCTGAATGTTCAACTTTGCTCTCTCCAAAATATACTCTATGCATCTAAATCGTGCACGCCCAGGACCACTTAAAAACCAATTTGTCAACACCTTGCCTGGAATGGAAGGAATTTTACGTCTCAACACTGCTTCAGCCACATTTTCGATGGTATACATATTAAGCTTAACTTCACCACGCATCAAACGCCAAATGTTAAGAACAATTCTACCACCAACATGTATACCACTGGCATGTGTTCTGCCCCATTCATCATCTATTATCATCATGTCCTCACAAAGCACAGAATCCCTAATGATAGGTTCCGAGAAAAGATTGCTACGTTTTTCTTCGTCATAGTCTTTTGAAGGTGCATGGGTCTCTGACAGTGCACGCGATATTTTTCTTAGCAAATCAATGCCAATGTGTGATGCCCTTTCTGCAAGAAACCCAAGGGAACCACCTTGAATATCCCAACCCATCACGACATCTGGATCAATTGAAGAAAAAATCTTCACAAATTTGCTAAATAAATGCTTCTCTTCACAGAAATCCCAAACCTTGCATCCTGATAATGCATCAAGATTTCTTGGAACAGACAAACCATTACAATGCAGGAGTACATAAGCATCAGCTACAGGATCATCATCTTCACAAACAACCAGAATTACAATACTGATGGCATCAAATCGAGGGTCAGGTCTTAAATCACCCCTAGATTCTGCTTGGACTTCTATGCTCAATAATGTTAGCTGCTGCCCAAAACCAATACTTGCTGAATCCCGAAATCCAATTTGACTCAGAGGAGTAAGTTTTGATTTTCTATCAGGGCCTGATATCTGAGATAAATCCCCTGCCAAATCACTTGAGTGTTTACCTTTTAAAGGATCCCCCTTGCTCTGCTGCATTCTTTTGCTCTCACCATGAGAAAATTGAGTCTCAACATTATGACTTCCATTATTTTGCCGATTTACCAGATCCATATTAGGCTTAAGACCTGACACAGATGCAGGTGCTGTCAGACAATGACTATTACTCAAAGCCTGAGAATTCTGCATGGGCATTACCTGCCAAGAGGATCCCTTAATTGATGGGGAGGATGTTAAGCATACATCGTTATTCTCATTGGAAACGTCTGCAGAATCAAGTGTCATCCATTTCTCGACACATTTGGCTAGTGGTGGTGTGAAGACAGGGGTCAACATGAACAAATAGGAACCATCACTTTGACAGTGGAAAGGGACTCCTAGTAGACCTTGTCCACAATCGTTATAGTCCAAAGCTCTAGAAGTGGTGTGATATTCTACAGAACTCCTACCAAAAAAGGGGGGGAGCTCCTCTGAAACTATTTCCTGACCACATAAAGCATCATAGTTTTGCTTATCTTCATGGTGGAGCTGAGGGATACCAAGTGTTTCGCGAGTGCATGGACCGAGTTCATGTTTGCACTTCATCACAAGGGGTGACTCAGGATAAGTCAAATTCACAGTTTGGGTGGGAGCAGTTCTTGATTCAGTTACGAGTGTGGTAGATGGATGACTATGAGGGAACGAGTCAGTATTTTTCCCATCACACCCACTAGGTAAAGTTTCAGATAGAGAAAGAGTCACTCCACGTGCTGCTGGCATGGCCTCACAACTCTTTGTTGAAACCCAGTGCATTTTGTTCACAGTTACACCAGTCTTATCAGATCTTTGCATATAATCTATTTCTGTACAAGATGGAGCTCCATCCTTAAAAGGTAGACCTCCAATTGGAGTATAATGGCTGCTTGACTCATTTGCATCTCTTTGGAGCAATTTCTCTCCACCAGAAGATTCATTCTCACTTGCAAATTTTAATGATTGAGCACATGGAACCGACTCAGAAACAACAATATTAGTATTTGAGGATTTCGTATTGTGAAAACAGATATCTATATCTTCACAATCATTAGGCACGCATTGCTCCATCTGAACTGCACCCATAGAAGTCATACTGAAAGAATACTGCTCTGACGGATCAGTTTCCCCGTGCAAAAGCTTCTGCAAAGCTACATTTGCTTCCCTAACACAGTGAACATCACTTCCTTGTAAAGAATGATATAGTTCAGAATTTGATGAGTCTCTTGGAAAAGTATTGCAAATGCTGGAGTGCATAGGCAATTTACCATTGGCAGGGTTCCTAGCATTGCCATCATAAGGTTCAAACTGCACCCGGGATGTAGGACATGTGTTAGTCTCATCGCATCCTCGCGGCTGAGCACCAACTGAGACCCTGTTCATGGAGTAAGACAAGTGTGTTTTGTTTTGCTCTTCATATGACTTTTCAATACAAAACCATGAATCTTCTCTATCTTCCTTCACTGATGGGATCTTTTTCATCTCACTCGTGCATAAAGGTGGTTCAGTACGGTAGCACCGTTTCTTCCTCATTAGGTCCCGCATGGAGCATTTAACAACAGTCTCTCTGTTTGATCCCTTTACTATATTCGGAGATATGTTTATTCCACATCCTGTCGTGCAAGGCAAACCAGAATCATCTTTTATGTGGCATCTGCTGATTGTGCTAACTCCAGCAGTAGATGAAAGGTCATTCACTTTCTGAACAGATGAAACAGGCAAAGGACCCCACATTTTTCTTCTCTTTTTGTGATCACTGAACATACCAAAATTAGCATTGTGCAACAAATCAGTTTCTGAAGAGGTCCCAGGTTCACTGTATGTTCCAGATGATTTATTGGCACATGAAACAGCCCCAATACCATCAGAAGACCCATCCACTTGAGGTATCATTCTGCTTGGAGAAGTTTTGCATGGATAAATAGACTCAACCAAATAAGACAATGTCCCATCTAAGCCTTCAACGTTAGCTCTATCCAGAACAGTGGCAAGAATGTCCACACACTCTTGTTGAGATTCATTCTCATAATCTGCATGAGCTTTCTCTAATACCTTATCTATGGTTGTTGCAGGCATTAAGGGACTCAAAATGGTCTCACGAGTAAGGTCATCATCTGAGTTTATATCTTCAGCAGCTTGAGAAGATGCAAGCCAATTTAAAACTCCCAAAGCATCATGATCTGATACCTGAAAGTGCTAAACAAATGAGAAATATAAATTAGAGGAAGTGCAAGGCAGTAATATTTTCCTTCAGAAATGAGGCAAAGCAGAATAACAAAAATGGCTCCACAAATCTCTGGTCTCTTGGAAACAGCCTCTCTACATTCAAGTAGGGGCAAGATCTGCAGTACACGCACCCTCCCCAGACCCTACTTTAGTGGGATTCTACTGGGTTATGTTGTGCTGCTCCACAAATCTCTATGCTATCTCTGTATGCATGCATCAATTAACATCAAAATTACTCTTCGTAGTTATTGGTAAATATTTGTATATGTTAGTTTTGTGTGTGTATTTCCATTCCCCTGTGGAGCCAGATATTCACTATTTTTTGGCTTTCGGGTATGATGGAATAAAGCAAATTAGCTCTCTAAACTGTCTGCGCTTCTTGTAATTGTGAAGTAGCAGTTGGTCAATGCAACTTTCGACGTTCATCATTGGTTATCTAGAAACAACCGCTTTATGTTTTGAACATAGGGGTCACATTGCGTACATCCGACCCCCCCTTACCCCGCAATGGGCGGGAGCCTTTGAGGCACTGAGGTAATGTTGTTGTTGTTGTTGTAGTTTTGTGTGTGTGTGTGTATGTATATGTATCATTTATGTATGTATGTATATGTGTGTGTGTGTGTGTGTTGTCAGATTTCATTACTGGTAAATGAACATTGTTAGACCCTAGATTATTTCACCGATATCAATCTCTATAATAACGAGGTACCCTTCTCCAAATGGACATGTGTTCCCCTTTGTACTAGTGGATTCAACCCACACTCTTGAAACAATTGTGAAGTTGTCTAAAGTTGCTCGTTTCAATAATGGGACTATAGTTATGGGTCTCATCACATTCACTTTCTCTATGAGTCTAACTATCACATTGGGGAATGCAATCGTAAGAATTTTATTGATTGGTTATTGCTTTTGATATTTGGTTTTCGTTTTAAACTCAGTCATTCTTAAAGGTAATCCGTTTTAATCCGTTTAACATTCAAATATTTGACATTTAATCCATTTAACATTCAAATATCATATTCAATTCATATTCAATGTCCATTTTATTCAAATATACAACCCAGTTAGATCCCACAATAGGAGGGTCTAGGGAGGGTGTGTGTATGCAGACCTTACCCCTACGTTCAAACATAGTAATGCAGTTCTAAATATATATGGTTCACAAAGTATAACTATTAAAAATAATGTATTTTAGATATTTATGTTACGTTAGTAACGTTACCCGAACTTTAAGTGTTTAACTCGTAAGAACATTTAAAATATTAAATGTATGTAATATTATATTACTTTGGTTAAATTTGAATTTTAAAGGAGGGAGCCTATGCATTTAGTTATTTGTTTATTTTATTTATGTATTCAAATATTTGAATTGAATACCCTTGTATTCATATTCATATTCTTTTAACATTCAAATCAAAATGTACATTTGGATTTGAATTTGAAAAATTTGAATTGTCATATTTGAACACAAATTGCAAATAGAATCAAAATTATATGTTTTGTTTACAGCCCTAGATGAAAGAAAGCAAATTATAAGTTTGTGTTTCTCTTATGGCAGTCGACCTGTTGCAACAAGCGCAAAAGAGCACAAATGCTCAATATGTCCATCCTAATAACCTACAACTCTTTTATACCCCTGCCACAACACATTAAAAACTTTATAGCAAATGATCTCACAAAGAAGCTAGAAATACTTTATCATAGGCACATAGACTTTGCAATTCATGCTTTGCAGAAAGGCACCAGCCCGGAATCAAGCTCACACTAATCTTAATATTCCCATGGTGGAGGAGACTCCGAGGAGTTCATCAATTGTCTCTCTGAGTTCCACCACAAGTGGATCACCAATTGGGGATTAGTTACCAGCCTCAGAATCTTTGTTTCCGGCAAATCATGGAAGAAGAGGTCGTGGACATAGAAGAAGAGATGGTCATGGTAGGGGTGAACGTGTTCAGTACTCCTATGGCAAGTGTATGGATCATGCTCAAGATAAGTAATATTCTTTACATGGTTTCCAAGAAAAAAACCAATATGATACTGGGGGAGTGGGGGTAGGTATGACAATCTGCAGTCAAATTGCTTCAAGTCAGAACTGATTTTTAGAATATGCAGTTTGGCAGCACTTTCACAGTCAAAGAAGCTTATAATTGGTTGATGGATTCTAAACCTAAACAAGGTTGGTCCCCCTTGGTTTGGAACAACTAGTCTGTTCCTAAACTCTGGTTCATTGCTTGGCTTATATGGAAAAGGAGAATTCTTAGTTTCTTACTAAGGAAAGACTTAGAAAATTATGCAGGTTGATATCAAATACATTATGTGTGAGGATGCAATTGAGACAATTGACCATTTGCTTTGTGCCTGTCCTTTTGCCAAGACTGTACATCTCTTATGACATAGCTGCAGATACCGTTGATGATATGGAAGCCAAAGACAAGAAGGGTTGCACCAGGAAGACTAGGAAAATACTGGCAGCCTTGATTGCAGCTAGCTACTATGAAATGTGGAAGGCCAGGAACCAGAAAATGCACTCTAACTACCAATCAATAAGGAGCAAACAACTACAAGGATCATTTTCCAGTTTAATGTTTATACCAAAAGCAAGCAGAGCAGATGGTTATGTACTGGTTTTGTAGCTTGTTTTAGCAGTTTTGGTTGTTTTTGTTTTGTTCCTTGTATTGAACTGTTTATTTGATTAATGAAAGGTGATTGTTTCCAAAAAAAGGTATGACAATCCAAAAAGGTGGCAACCATAATGTTCTTGAGCTGATGAATATATGGAGTACAATCAGCCAGCTTAAGGCTGCTCAACAGGCATCTTCAGTAACCATTCAAATATTGCTCATACTATTAATCCCACTTTGTTTATATCATTGACCTCATATAGGTCCCTAGATTATAGAATCTTGTGCTTCAGACCATTAGCTAATAACACTTTTCTACTTCGTCCCCAACCAAAACAGCACATCACCCCTGATGGTTGCTCAAAAACCTCAAAAATACAAGGAACTATTGGTCAAGCTTCACATCTTCTCTCAATATCTTTTGATGATGTCATATTTATATCTGGACTTCTTTTAGATTTAGGGGGGTGTATTCAATCAGGATTTTGATGGATTTTTTTGGATTTTAAAAGTCAACAGGTATTCAATTGAGATTTTAAAAAATCATTTAAAATTTAGATGTATTCGATTCAGATTTTAAAAAATCTTTCTAAATTTAATGGTATTAAAAAATTTACAGATTATGGAGGATTCTTATAAAACATTGATTTTGACAGATTGTTGACTTGGACTATAAATAAAAATCCATATTAGAAATCTGAGGTAAAACCTATAGATTTGCAAAGTCCTCAATCTTTTCTCTTTAGGTTCTTCATCTTCTCCCACCGGTTCATCTTTTCCGATTGATCTAGGGCTTCACTCCTCGTCTTTTTCGATCCATTCACTTGTCACTCCGATAATAAGGTAAGGTTTCTCAATCTTCAAGAAATTATTAATGAAGTTATGTGAATTGTTTGGGCATATGATTCAGAGCAGATTTGTGTCTGTTTTCTTAACAAATAAATTATAATGAAGTTATAATCTCAAATATTCGAGATCTATGGTCAAAATACTAAATTTACACTACTCTAGTACTCCACGCATCATATTTGCCCTATATTATCAATATAATACTCCCTCCGTCCCAAAAAGAATGGGACGGTTTGACTTTTTGGGAAATTAAGGGAGGGATATTTTGGTATTGACTTTCCAAAAATACCCTTGATGTGATGGGTAAAAGTAGGATGTGATGGATAGATTATTAGAAAAAAGGTATGATGTGATAGGTAGGGTATGAAAAAGTAGGGGTAAAAGTGGTTTTTAAATAGAAATGTAACGGACTTTACGGGACGCAGTTTTTTCTAAACGTAACAAACTTTTTGGGACAGAGGGAGTATTTTACATCAAGAAATCTGATTTTTATCATATTTTTATAATTATAAAAATAAAATTTTATGTTAGATTACTTGTTTGAAGAAAGAGATGGGTATGTTGCCACTGACAGAAACACTTTGCATTATTGTTTCTTCATCATTTGCTGGATCTGTTTGGAATGGAGATATTATCTCTTCGTCACTTGCTTCTGTCAGTCTTGGCAAAACACTTTGCATTATTGTAATTTTTCATTCTAAAATAAAGTTTCATGTTTGACCAAACACAATATGAAACATTATTTTGGGACATAGAAAGGGGATACTCTGGAACCTTTTTTTCGAAAGAGAGGGAGTGTAGATAGATTTTTCATGTTCATGTATACACTCATATTCATACATGCTGTTTGTATTAATTATGATTTTGATTTTCTATATCAATTTCATTCCTTCTTTATACTCTCCGTATCAATAAGGGGTCAGATTCAAGGAGGAGTTAGGTTCTATTTTCCAGCTGGTTCTCTTGGGTTTTTGGGTACTTTTGGGTCAAGATTTTCAATTTTTTGTAACATATTGTTGACTATTGCAAAACATAGCAATATCATTATGGGTGATCAACAACAAAATGCCAAAAAAAGGGAGGGTATGAGCAATGGACAACTCAAGAGAGTGATGTACTTTTAGAGCTCATGGTAGATGCCGCCGCTCGGGGATGGCGTGATAATAGTGGAATTTTTTCTAAACAAACAGTGGAACAGAGGATACTTCCTGTTCTTAATAATCTGGTTTTGGATTTGATTCTACTACAAAGAGGTTCACTGCAACTGATGAAATATGGGATGATTATTTTAAGGTAAGCTTTCTTAGTACTATATGATAAAATATTCTAATAAATGAATCTTTTGAAAGATGTAATGCAATAATAAATTTATAATTTATGTTTTTATAGGCTCACCCAAAGGATAGCACCGAATTACGTTATGGAACATTTCGGGATTACGAGGACTTGGAAATCGCAATTGGGAACGGTGTAGCTGTTGGAAAAAACTCAATCGGGTTGGGTAGTACTACTGATGCAAGAATATTAGGTGTTGGAGAAGGTAGAGATGTGCACATAGAAGACCTTGATTATGGCTTGGAGAATGATGCATTCATAAATCAACCTCAAAGTGATCCACCTATTCACTCCACATCACCGATCCAATCTCCTAAAACCCACGAGGTTCCCATTAAAAAAACAACCCAAACCAAAAGAAATGGAAGTGCTTATGAAGAAAGTGGCATTATGGAAAAGCTAGATGAAATATCTAGCAGTTTTCATGGAATTTATAACCTGCTAGAGAAAAGAGAAAGAGAGAGAGAAAAGAGTTACTGAAGTTTTCATGTATGAATTTTTAAAATAATTCATATATATATATATATATATATATATATATAATCTATGAATTATAAACAGTCTATCAGAATCCTATAAAATCCTGATGACAAAATACATTAAAATCTATCTAATTCTACATAGATTTAAAACAATCTATTGATTTTACAGAATCCATGGATTCTAAATAATCTATCAGAATCTTCTATAATCTGGATTGAATACACCCCCCTTAATCTCAATTAGCCCATTTATTCAATCTTTTTATTGTTTCATTGCTTTATTTCTAATTCTTAATCAAGAGATGAATTTGGGGAAAAACATTGGAGTTGGATGAGCCACACAGTATATCAATTGTTAAATCCACCAACTGTTATTTTCTGAACAGATCAACAGATGAAGAAAAATATAGACCGGCTGCTCACCTTCACACCTGAAGATGATTCAACATTTTCAGATATCTTCAATTGTTCAGCTGATTTGCAGGGATATGCATTCATCTTCTCTTCCCATTCCCCAATTCCATCATCCTAAAATGATGTAGTCTGAGATGGAAAAACTTTTCAAATTATATTATGTTGTCTACAAAATTAATGTCTACACTTGATTTACCTCATCAGTGGGTGAGTTTGTAGGATCCAGAAAAATGTCTTCAAATCCTATTCCATTGGAAAGTTTCCTCAAAACATCCTTGGGAAGTGGTTTCCCATGATAAGGAGGTATGACGTGCCCATGCATCCCATTAAATTCAAACTCCTTTAACCAAATCAAGAATAAGCAAACATATCACACAAAAAAATTTAAATGAACATTTAGAATAAAAATCCAAGATGAAAACAAACCTCCCATATTGGCATTAGTGATTGAATCATTTTTACTTTAGAACATGTTTGTGAAAGGGGTGTGTATGATAGAAACTGTAGATTGAGAATTGCTGCACGTACATGCATATGCATATTAGTTTTCAGCTATTCCAAGAACACACAGCATAAAGAAATTCTTTTAACGTGTACAAAGAAAAACAACCATCAGTAACTGCATCTCCTTCAAGTTCAGAAGTACTTGAACGCTTCATGGCAGGAAGAACTTGATCAGTCAAAGTATCATCTTGACTAGAGTTCAGCCAAATCCAACCATCAGGAATAGTGGATGATATCCATATAGGTGAATCCAAACATGAATGAGAATCTAAAACTGCCTAAGTTTCCACAGAGAAAAAAAACGCAATCTTTTATATCCAAAAAAAGCAACAGCTAGTAGCATATGCAACTGAAAATGTACCTTAGAATCTGCAGAAGAGGTAGGGATATCCATAGCATCTTTCTTTAGGTCGTTGTACTTGGCATTCCTTGGAGAGAAGGCCTCTGGTACTGGGTAACGAAATTTCATCTTTGATATGTGTAGATGACCCATCCCATACAAGTTATTATCAACCTAGATTATTTGGTTGAGTGAGTACCGACTAAGAGCCCAAGCAGCAACATAGTAAAAATAGAGTAAATGTACCTAACTGTAGAAATTAAGGAGTTAACCTAAATAAACTTTTTCTGGTAAAATTACAAACATGTAAGTCTGTAATGCTTAAGATATGAAAACAGTGTTGGATCTTCAGACCATCCATTTTTGTCTAAAATGAATTGTTAAAAAATCCAACTTAAAACATGTACTAGAGTAAATCGACGATAAGCATGTCAACAATTTTTTTTGGAGGGGGAGGAAGGGGGCAGGCTCAAAAGTCAAAACAAAAAGGAGATTTGTGCATGGTACATTGGCATTATACAAAACAGTTGGTAAAGAAATGGCATTTCAAATTTAGACAAGAAGAACACCTAACCTAAGTAGTAAAGTCAAAGATTACCAAGAATTGGAGAAGAAATGGTATGTGTGTTTCATGGGGCTGAAAAACCTTATCTAGCACAGCTCCTTCCTGAATAGAAACAGAAATGGATACACATTTCTACTTGACTGTTCAATAAAAAACATTATAAAGCCAAAACAAATAAAGAGGTACTTATCAACAATTAAAGGTGGCTGGAAAAAAGTGGTTGAGTTATTACAACAACAAAAACAAATCATTTAGGATTAAGACAGCTTTCTCCTTTTTGGCCAAATATAGGATGTCTAGAGCTTTAAGCCCTGTCATGGACATTTACAAACATATATGTTTTCATGGAACAACACTATCATACCTTATTTATCTTCAAAAGAACGATACAGACAAAGCCACGAGCAATATTCAAAAGGTAAATTTGGTTAGACTCTTTGAATCTCTTTAAGGAACATCAATACACACACACACACACACACAAGCTCTTACAAATATAATTTACAAGGGAAAATAAGAAATAACTACCATGCACAAGAGAATTAGATAAAGCATCTGAATGCCAACTTGCCAAGTTAGACAGAATAATCTCCTATGAGAATTCCTCATTTATGCTTAGCAGACTAGCAACATTTCTCCTTTGTGTCAATTACAACATATAACACGACTGGATAAAATAGCTGACAGTGTTGATACAGAAATAGAGTTGATAAATATATGTACTGAACCATAGATTATTAAGTATACATGACAACCAGACCCAACTATGGTCCCTGATTGTAGTGTCTAGCGAGTAGAAACAAAAGTCAAGATATAGTGTAAGCATCGTGAACTAGTTCAGATTCCAACTAGGGAATCTAAACTTTTTCTGTGTGTAAGCATTTGTTGTCGGACAAGCTAGTGGGCCTAGATTGCTTGACAGAGAGGGCTGTCTGATGTCGTACAGGTCTGGTTTGTACTGCTGATATCTACAACCAATTTATAGGCTACTCCTTATACATGAAATAAATCAGTAGAATATCGGCTAATATTTTTTTTCACTTGACATCAAACCCATTTTTATGAGACCCTCATTTCCACTTTTTTAGTCATTGTCAACCATTGATATGGCCACTGATCCCATCTTCACTAGTGATACTCCTTTGATTTTTTAAATTTCCAAGTCATTAGTGATGTATGTGGGATAGGGGGTGATGAGAATGGTTATGTTATGCTCTTATTTTTAGTGATTTCTTTTCTTTATCCTAGTAAAGGGTGATTGCCTTGCACAAGCCCTCGTTACAAATCAAAGGTGAAGTGATTTTATATTAAAATTCACAAACGGTTAGATACAATTGAATACTTTATACCGTAGTTTTCACGTTTAACTTTAGATTTTTACAAAAGTTGTTTCCATTCTCATTTACTAAATACAAAGAGTGAATCGTGAAGACGAAAAAATTCTTTAGTGGTGTAAGGGTCTCATAGTCCAATACCCATTTTATGGGTGGCGTGGAGATGTTTCTTCTTCCAAATTTCATCTCGCACAGTCACTCCTCCTCAAAGATGGTCTGGTTCGGACTAGTAAATGAGCCAGGCGTCCTTGTTCCTCAAGCAGTAGATGTTTACATGTTTTCAAAAGTAGATGTTCAAGCTTTACACTAGAATCAGAACGCCCAACCCATCACTACTCCAAACCACACCATCTTTCAAAAGTGACAGCGCAAGATGTAATCTCGAGGAAGGAACATCTCTACACTACCCATCAAATGGGTCTTAAATATGATGAATGTGTTTGGGATTGTGATGATTTTTACCTCTGTCCCTGAGTTTGTGTCTACTTTTGACTTTTTTTCGGTTAAAATTGGTAAACTTTGACCTTAAATTAAATAAAAATGATATTAGATATTGATACAAAAATAGTTTTATTAGATTCATTATATGAAATATTTTCAAAATATTATTTTATCTAATTAAAGTATAATATATATTTTATTTAATTATTGGTCAAAGGTCGAAAATAGTCGAGTAAAAAAAGTCAAAACTGGACAAATACTCAAGGACGAAGGTAGTACTTAGCTTTGAAGAAAACATTTTTAGAGCTAAATTTGTACTTTTGATGCCATATTTCATAAATTAAAACAAATTGTTACACTTAAAATTATATTTTAGTGAAGTGGAAACTCAAAATTTGTTCTCAAACACACTCTCAATCAACCCTCTAATAAAGAAGAGAAGAAAATATGATGTTGAGAATAAAACAAATCACCACTTAAGATTATAGGCCTATAGCTTTCTAATATCATTTGGTCGAAAATACACCAAGGATAAGTCCTAGGCTAGCCCACCATGCTTTAGGATGCTTTAGGGAAAGTAATTTGACAAAACATAAAAAAACAAATTCCTTTAAATTAAGGAAGCATGTTAATTTTTGACTATGTGAACTCTTTTTCATTTTTTTCTTTGTATAATCATTTCTAATGTTTCCCCTCCCTTTTCTCTCTATATAATTCCGCCATAGGTCATTGTAATAGCAAGTGAATTTGAGTAATGAAAAATATGAGCTTTACTTTGGTGTAGAAATCAGTGAAATAAGGTGATTCCATTTTATCCAAATCCCTAATTTCATATATCTTATGAGTGCATTCTCTTCTTCCAATGAAGCCAAAGAATCACTATTTTTGGCTTTGGGGTATGCTAGAATAAAGCAAAGTGGATCTTTACACTGTTTGCGCTTCTTTTAATAGTGAAGTAATAGTTAGTAACGCAACTTTCAACGCCCGTCATGGGTCATGTGAGAACAACCACTCTATGTTTTAAAGATGGGGGTGAGGTTGCATACGTGATTACTAGTGGTGCTTGAGGTCTCTTTGGAAACATCCTCTCTACTTTCGATTAGGGTGAGGTTTGCATACACACACCCCCACTCTCCTGGGATTCAATTGGGTTGTTGTCGTTGTTGTTGTTATGAGTGCTTCTCTTAAAAGGGAGTGTTAGGTTCTAGTTATGTAATTAGGAGTGATTCTTAATTAGATTCTAGAGTTAAACTTGAGTGAGATTTGAGTGTGTAATATCTCATATTCGAGCTTAGCTTATCCCTTATTAAGAAAAATCCCTATAAAAATACTTCTCTTCTCTACACAATTCTTGTCATCCCCTTTCCTTTCCATTTAAATAGCCTCGTCTTCAAAATGATAAAACTTGATTAAATGATCACCTTCCATGAACTTGTATCTCCAATGTTGCAGCCTTTTAAGCTATCTAACATGAAAAATATCGGCTCCAGCCCCCACCGATTCCTTCAATGCAAAAAAGGGAATGGTAACTTTCTTATCATTCCTGGCTCCATGGAGGTGGAAATAGGTTAAACCTATTTAATGCTCTAGACTATTAAGAAAGTTCAGGAAGCTGTGAAAATGACTTTGCTTGATAATGAGAAATCAAGTGTTTATACTGAAATCAAAGCTTAGGGGCCAAGATAGCAACCCTTTCTGTAACTATTATACTCCTTTCGTCCCTTTACAATCTTCTCACTCTGACTTGGCACAGGTTTTAATGTAAGATGTTAAATGTTTTGACTTTCCATTTATGCCCTCCTCTTTAATTATTCAATTGTTTCGTCTTCTATCTCCATCCACCACACGCCTGCACCTGCCCTCTTCATCCTAAATCAAAATAAAAATGAAAATCCCCTTCTGGAGACCTAAATTGTAAGTCAAAAACAAATGTCAACTTCACCACCAAGATCTCGCACAGACATCAATAGGCAACTTCATCGCCTGGATCTTGTCTTCATCCCAACTCGCAACCATCAAAAATCAAAAGAGAAACTTGCTTAGATCTCATCGCCACCCCTTTTCATGGTGTTACTCCATCGCCTAAGGTTAGATTAGAAATCAAAATCGAAGGAAAGATGAGAGAAGAATGGGAGGGGGAAGTTACGAAGAAGAACAAGTTGGGGGGAGTTTACGAAGAAAAACAAAGCAAAATTGAAGAAGAAGAAATAAGAGAGGATAGTGGGAAGAAATTGGGGGATAGGGGACGAAGAAGAAAGGAGAAGTAGTGGCTTGGACAAAGAAGGTGAGACGAGTGTGTTTGTCATATATAGAGAGTGGGAAGATTCCAGAGGGACGGCCCAAATGGAAATTGGAAGATTCAAACAGAACGGAGGGAGTAGTGTTTTATATAATCTATGGCAGGAAATTGATCTAACTTGAAGGTGTTGCATTGGACTTTTTGTAGAAGAGTTGTTCTTCCGTGGTCCTAAGGTCCACATGTAACATGTGGACCTTCACACTTTTCATGGGCTTGCAAGTGGATCTTCTTTTTTTTTTGCCAAAGGCCACAATTCTTTTACGATATCAATACACTGAGGTCCATAACACGAGCATGGATGTTAGGACCACGGAAGAATTTGCCTTTGAAGAAAAGAGTCTGTATAATACAAAATCACTATGTCGCAAATGATGTGACACTTCCAAATACCAATAGAGCCCAATATGCCTTTTCTTTTTTATGCGCCTTTTCTCCTCATTCTATAGTGTCTATCAAACAGTGACTTGAGTGGCAGGTGTAAAAGCAATGATGTAAATGACACACACAGGATAGAGAATGCAAAATTCTTGAGAATGCAGTATTTTAAGTGCAGGGAAAAAATTGCAGAAGCTGAGAAGAAAAATTAAAGGGAAACTGGTAGGGTGTAAAGCCACAGGTCAGACCAATTAGTATAGAAAATAAAGAGGCAAGTGGGAAAAAATAGTCAAGAAGCTAAAGCTGTAAGAAATTGCAAGAAATTTAATAAACATACATGTGGAATAAGAAAGAAAAGAACATGAAATATCAAAGGTATTGCAGATAACTTGCCCAACAGCCTATGACTGTCAAACTCCAATGAGTCCCAAATTGTATTAATCTCTCAATATCTCCTATGTTATAAGAATTTTTTATCTAATACAATTTGTTAATAAGGTAGATCATAAATTGATTGAAGAATTAAAGGAGAATTTTGGCATGTATCTATTACAAAGAGAATTTATTACAAAGAGTATCTATTACAAACACACAACACACTTAAAAAGAGAATTTTGGCATGCCACAACAAGCTAATGGCAACTTGAACATTGAGGAAGAAGAGAAACAAGAAGTCAATATAGTTGTATGATTTACCCGAAGAAGACTAGCAGCGCGGGGGACATCCTGTGGGTAGTATCTTATAAATCCGTTAAGTTCAGTTGCAAGATGCTAAGATATAAATATTAATAGAAGATGGGCATTTAAGCCAGATACTTTCGTGGTATCCAACTGGGTTTTTGTGTGTGGACAAATAAGCCACATAGTAACGGGGGAGGTGGAAGCATGAGGTGCCAAATAGGCATATACATCATTCAAGCATAGAAAATTTGTTAAAAGGAGTCAAAAAACAGCATCCAGCCACATCATTAATGACTAGACTCCAATTGTCATTTTTTTCACTTATGAAAATTGATTGTGCAATAAATGAAAATATAAATTATTGGAAATATTCAGGATACAGATATATTTTCACAAATAGCTCATCTGAAGAATGATAACCATAGATCTTTTTCGCCCTGACTAGACTGCAACAGTGCACATGCTGACGGTTTAAGGACATATTGCCTTTAAGCTGTATGAATTTAGATATCAAACCGTGTGCATTTGTGTCAACATTAACAACACGGGAAAATGCTACCGATAAGAAATAGCTATCTAAACACGCCTCATTTGAAATGGATATGATATACCTTCAGTGCCTTCTCAAGGGCATGGGATATGCTATTTGTGCAGTCTTCACCTGCGAAATCTTGTTAGAGGTGATGACACAGACTAAATGTTAGGGATAGGCAACTAAATGATTCGCACATTTGTCTATATCCAAAGGGGATAAGTAAATTGAAGTGCAAAATGTTGATGATTGTATCTAAGAATCACAAACTTGTTAACCCATCTACTCAAAAGAGTGGTACTACAAATCTAGTGGGTTCAGCTATATGAATTGTATTTCTGCATGAAGACTTCTTCAAGCTAAGTGATATCAATCCCCTATCGCAACACTTCTTTTTTATAGTCTAAATCTTGTCTACCTCGTACTATTCTGGCATTTCCTCTCCTACACTCCTACTTTAAGGCATCCATTGATCTGCATTAATGGTGTCAAAACCATTTAAACCTACACTTTCTCAACAACAACAACGGCAAACCCAATATAATCCCAACTACGTTGGGGTCTATTGGGTCATGATGTACGCAACCTTACCCAGCAAAGAACATAGAGGTTGTGTCCAATAAATCTTTGATGCACTGTTGCACTTATTGCCCAAAACATCATAGTAAGAGGCAAGGGAAGTTTAATGTGCCATTTTGATTTGGTCCATTACTAACCCAAAGCTAGAACATTGTAAAAAATGACACTTTTAGCTCCATTGATATGATGTTCTCCTCACTCTAAATATACTAATCTCTTATATAATGATACGACCATGTTGTTGTTGTTTTTGTGATGTGTACATTCATTTTGGCATCCTCAATTCGTCATTCGTTTTAGGGAAACTTTGTTCCTTGATTCCATCATGTGTAAGGGAATATCAAAAAGACATTTACCCTAGCTACCCACCATGGTTTACCAACTTTTGATTTCTACTAAAAGAAGCGGAAGCATATATAGCCTATAAGCACAATGGTAACCCTTTTACACAGTTACCATTACACCTTATTATAAATGTAAAATACCTTGTTGGTCTGATTGATGGAAGAGATCTGAGCATGGAACATAAAAATAAGGCAGAGCCTGCAGGAAGATAAATTTTGGTTGTGAGAACTTTGCATATGATTATTTATGTCTAAAAAACTACTCAGTTAGGATGTCTAAAAGATTGATAATAAAAATATAATTCAAGGGTGACACCCATATAATGATACAAGCATATAACTTGCAGTCTTTTCTTTCTTTTGGTCACTCTTAAGAATTAAGCAATGGACCAATCGTTTGATAGATTCAAGGACATTGCGTTTTTATCTTTCTTTTGGTCAGGGCATCGAGGGGGTAATGATTTAAGGTCTATCTTCAGTTCTTTTTTTTTGGGGGGGTCACATGGTGTTTGTTCTCTTTTTCTGTGCAACAAAGGTTACAATTCCATAGTTTTTATATCTTTAACTAGGCATTGTTGGTGGCACCCTACAACACGATTCACATTTTAAACAAACTAAACATACAAACAAGATGGAAACCATTCAGGCAAAAATGCACTTGGCAGCTTACTCCATGAATGTGCAAGCAAGTCTTTTGACCGGCCGGAGTCGACCCGTACACTCTGATAACTGGTACCTCATTCACTTTCCCGCCTGCAAAACATTTGAGGATTACCCAAAATTAGATCCTGAAAAAAAAAATCAAACAGCCCCTACTTCAAATCAACAAATACTGCAACCAATTGCTATTAAGAAAAATCCTCGTTCCAATTTCCAAGTGATTTCCATACTACCAACATATAAAATTCCTTGGATTGGAATGAAGTAATTACCATGGAAACTGCTGTAACAAATGTCGAGGCCGGGGATAGGAGACGCCATGTAGTAGTCCATCGACACGATACGGACGCTGAATATCTTCGAATCGGGCTGAGAATCTACCATCTTTTTCTCTAGATATGAAACCTGCGGTGCCCTAAAAAGAAGGTGTTTTTATTTTTGTTTTTAGTTTTAAGAGCATATGACGATGATATTGGGCGGGAACTGAAAAGTACGGAGTAGAATTTGGCGTGAAGATGAATTTCCCAGTAAGAGATGGCACTCTGGCGGGGTGGATTCCGGGGGCATACCGTCGGTGGCGGCCGATTTGAGCCAGGCAATAATTTTAAACCCGGTTAAAAAACCGGCATGGCCGCCGATTTCTAGGTTTTTCCCCTCATCCGGATTTTTAGTCCTGTAAATTTCTCATCAATATATTCACATTCAACATGTTTCTTCATTAAACGAATTAATTAAGAATAGAATCAAGAGACATGTGTATCTGCCTCTGCACACCTAGATGTCACTCGTAGTCTGGCCTCTATCTCAGGTTGTAAGATGTTATGCTCCCTCGCGGGCATCTTTTACACTTGACAAGTATTTTGGGAGGAAAAGAAAAGAAAATGGTTTTCTCTCCTTTTCTTCACCAAAATGGAAGGAATTTGATTTTCTCTTCACTTGGTATATTTTGCCTCTTCATTTTCTTTTCCTTCCACTTTTCCTCTCTTTTCCCCCCTAACCAAACAAGAAAAATGGTTTTCCACCTCATTTTCTTTTCTTTTCCGTTTCAAATTCTTTGAACCAAACATAGTGTTAGAGTTACCTCCACGAAAGGGACACTATATTGTGTGACAACGATTCTCATAATCTCATGGGACCATGTATGTGTCCCGCTTTTACGCTCCAATTCATGCCTTTTCAAAAAACTCTAGATGTACATGGGATGACTCAATGAGACTACAGTGAATGTTACGGTTGTGCTCTGATTTCCATCATCTTCCCCTTTTTTTGTTTTTTCTAATACGATTGGTGTGCAGCCAATGTCCCAATTTGACTAGGTAACATTATTTAACTAAAGATCAATAATATATGAGCGATAACATAGTTTCATTAGGTTCATTTTTTACAATCAATTATATAAAACGATTAAAAACACTACTATTTTTGAAAGAAAATTAAAATATTGTAAAAGTTGGAATAAAAATAAAACTAAGCAAAACAACTAAAAATTGAACTCTAAAAATATTAAAAATGTTTAAAAAAGAATAAAAAGTACTAACCCAACACCGACTTATCATCTATTTTATGGAAATATTATATTATTCGGACATTTTGGTCCAAAATTTTTCAATTACATATGAAAATTAGTTGAAAGTTAAAATAAACAATAAAGAAAAATTTGCTCTATATAGGACTAAAAGGTAGTACGTTTTCCTGAATAAAACCAAGTATGTTTTATGGTTTTTATGACATAATTCCATAAGATCTACCATATATGCCGCATTAACAAAAAATGTTGGATAATGACTGATTATACGAATGACTTTACGAATATGGTCATTAACAACAAGTGTTGAATAATGTCTGATTATTTTAATGACTATTCAAGATACTTTTAATAATGTCTTATTCTACTTAAATTGTGTAATATGTCATTTTCTCAAAGGCAACATATTTTAGAACATTCTATTGTCAAACGTTAGAGTAGATAGTACTGGTCTTATTTATGTAAAAGTGATATGTTTAAATCATATTTGCATTCATTACCAAAAAATGAAATATGGAGTATGAGAACATTCTCCTCCCAGGGGAATCATAGGATTCTGTTCGCCCTAGCTCGATATGAGAAATAATGATGGTGAATGGGTAAATCCAAATTTAATTTTTGTAAACAATGTTAGATGGCTAAGTGCAAAGCATAGAACATATGCTATTTGCTATTAATCTACAATTAAAGATCAATTTATATTTAGTGACTGTCCCCTCTTATCAAATGCGAGTAGATAAACCATGTGGATGGAGTGAGGGTTATGAGTGCCCTCTGCAACACCTCACTCTCGTTTCACGAAAATGGCCGTAGCAGTTCTTCTCAGGCGCACGTTCTTCAAAAGCCCAAAACCCTTCCACTTTTCCCCCGTGAAACGCTTGTCTCTTCTCGCCTCGACCCCGCCCTCCACAGAGCCATCTTCGCTGTCCGCCCGCATGCGCTTCGTCTTCGACCAGATTGACACCATCCAGGAGGAGCGGGCGGAGAAAGACCAGACACTCCAGCGCATACGCGCTTGGCGCGAATCCAAGAAGTCAGTTCAACCCCAACCCCAACCCCAGCAATGGGAGACTCCGGATTCGGATCCCAATGTGGCGAAGGAGACGGGCTTGGAGAAGGAGGAGTGTTCTGCTGTTGGCCAGGGAGGCTTGATGGCCCAGGAGGTCGAGTTTGTTCACCCGTGGCCGGAGTGGATTGCGCTAATGGAGAGGCTGGTGCAGCGAAATTACTTTGATCACAGGAGGAAAGACGAGGATAGGATGATTGTGGAATCGGGCTTCAGTGTTCCTGCTGTTGCAGAACAGGAAGGGCTCGACTTCACTAGGGATTGGAAGACTGTTGAGACTGCTGTTCTCAATCTTGGCCGCGACAGATTTGATATATTGAGGTCTTTCATGCTCTCGTACACAAGTGGGGTGCTCTTATATATTGCTTAATCCGTCCGATCCCATATGAATTATTGATGTGTAGTGGTAATCTTTGTCAATGGATGAGTGTAGTTAGATTTTCACTTGCACTCTATTTGAGGGAAGAAATGAAGTGTGAAAATCAAATGACTTGGCCCCGTAATACTTGGCCCCGTACATGGTCATGACATATTTTTTTTCCTTGGATGTTTTCCCTAATCATTTATTACAATTGTTTTATAGAGCTATTGATGTAGTTTTAGAATATATATATATATATATATATATATATATATATATATATTTTACACTGATATATACATAAATTGAATTGAAAATAACTTGAAAATGGGACGAGTATAATGGGACGGAGGGAGCACTGCAAAATGGAAGCAATTGTGGTTGGTTAATTATTATTGGGTAATAATTGATTTCAGGGCATTGCCGCGACAAGATCTTCAAATTCTGGTGGGCTATGGATGCCCTAGTGCAGACAAAAGGATTGTTTTTTCGGCCAAACTTTTGAGGAAACATGTTCATATTGACGAAGGAGATGTAAGGACGGAAATGTATTTTGTTTGATCTTCTGCTTAATTTAATCTCTATTTGCAATTTTGCATTGCATTATGTAAGGCTGCTTTCCTTTGTTCTCTTTCTGCCTCTTAGGCTACTAGTATGAATGTGCAATGATATTCATGGTTCACCTACTGCACATATTTCAGGTTTGTAGTTCTTGTAGCCTGAGGAGCTCTTGTGAAAAGGCATACCTACTTACAAATAAGGAGGACGAGGCTAGGACTATTGATGTTATGCGTGTCCTATTGATGTTTGCCTTTGATCCGATTAATGGTTCAGTTGTTAATAAGTCTATTCTAAAGAAGAAATCTGTGAAGAGTGTTATTCGGAGATTGCTTCATGAGGTGGTCAAGTTAAGTGCTGTTCCAATAGACCCAAATCTTCCACCTCCTATCATAAAAAAGCCCAAACCAAAGGTCAAACAGCCACCACCTACTCCTAAGAAACGAGTCGGGCGTGATGATGTTGAAATGAAGAAAGGAGATTGGCTTTGTCCGAAGTAAGTCTAATTGTTTATCCACTTTGCTTTGCATGAATTTATAGTGTTAACTGATTCTAAATCTAACACTCTAAATTCCAAATCAACACCTCTAACATAATTCGGGTTAAGGTGATGATGTGACGGTGGTTATTCTTGAGCAATCTAGAGCTATTACTCATTTTAGATCATATTTTATTGCATGAAAATCTTTTCTTAGAATGATCTCTCTTCTGCTATGGCACAGTTGGCACTATTTAAACCAAACCTGACACCTTTATTGTTTAACACTATTGTACATCAGTACTGCATATTTCTAGGATATTAGTTTCCCAACATTTCCAAATTAGGGTACTACTAAATCAGTTTTGAAATTTATAGTGCATACGTATTCGGTCCCCGTCAACTTTAAGCCACTTGCTCATGTAAACTGTATAGTGGCACAATGACGGAACAGCTGATGTGGTATGTGGTATGAATTGATGTCATATATTGATTAGAAATTTCAGATTTTTTTCCTAATGGAGGGATTTCAGATGATTAACTTTTTGCTATGGCCTTTACAAATTTAAATAAGTCCGAATGGTTTGAGTTTGTATACTCCGTATATAACAACTTACGTATGTAGTACAAGAATCCAAGGGTCTGTGAACAACTATCTCCTCATTTTCCATTGAATTGATGATGGACTTTGGTCTCAGATGTGACTTTATGAACTTCGCCAAGAATATTGTGTGTCTACAATGTGATTCCAAGCGTCCGAAGAGACAGCTGCTTCCGGGAGAATGGGAATGCCCCAAGTATGTACTTATCTTGCTCACAATTTTATTTTTTATTTTTTTATGCCGTTAAAGAATGTTAGCTTACTAGAGAGGCACACCATTCTTATACATCCAAATATTGCTCCTCTATGTTGCATGCGTAATTAGGTTTTATGTTGTTTTCTTAGCCACAAATTCTTTACTTTAAAAGGAAAGGGACGTTTTTTGGGACAGAAAAAAAAGGAGAGATTTTTTTTATGAAATGGAGAAAGTATAAAAAAACACCCCGCGAACAAGCATTTTAGCATTGTTGTAATCAAGGAAAGACAAACTAATTTTCAAAGCATTTTATGTTGTTTTACGTGTCATTCGATTCATTCCTTAAATTTGAGGTGATGTGGTCTGTGGAAGATCTGGATGGAGCATTAAGCTAATGAGTTGAAATCTTTTTTTCATCAACCAGTTACTGACATTTCAATTTATGAATAGCTACACCGTCCTAAGTAACTAAGTTATGCAATAAGTCACTGTGCTATAATTTGATGCATTTCTACTCTTTTTTTACTTCTAGTTGCAATTTCCTAAACTACCGGAGAAATATGGCGTGCTTTCATTGTGAAAGCAAGCGCCCACCCGATGAGTACACTGGAAGTCAACTTAGGGACAGACAACGTGGTCTCAGGATGCATTTAGATGATAAAATACCAGACAGGGCTTCTCGGCAGGATGTCACTAATGCTTGGAATTTGAACTTTGATGATGACGAATCAGATGGTGCTGATGTTGCCGCCTTTGAGTATGCAGATTCTCGTAAATTGGGTGCCGATTTTCCACTAGACGGGCGAGTACAAGATGTAAGTTCTAAGCCTCCAAAGGGCTATGGGACTGATTATTCTGGACCCCAGCAACCAGGACTGGGATTTAATGATTTTGATGACGAGGAAGATGATGTTGACAGTTATGAGGTTGATACTCATAGTGGAATGCATAAAAGTTCTCAAATCAATTACTCAGATCTTGAAGATAACTCTGAAGATGAAGGTTTGGATGCT